ATATTCCATGGAATGCTCTTAACATCCCGATAGCAATGAATATCTTAAGTGCTTTGACAAAAAATCCATAAAAAAATGTAATCTGTGGAAGCCGTAGTACTGTAAAAAGCACGACCAATCATTTTAGCCGGGCCGGCTAAAATAACTGGATGGCCTACCTGCCTGTCAGCCTTCCATCTGTGCACAAACTTATCTCGTGCCCTCATTGGTCATGTGCGCGTTCGTGTGTGTTGGAGGAGGGGCTCTGTAAGGAAGTGGGAGATTTTTTCCGGCTGTGTATTTTCAAATTCTAGCGCACTCGAGCTGGTTTCTCCAAAATTACCTACCCTACCTTTAATATTACTGCTATAACAATCACACATTGAGTTCATTGTTGTGCAATGTTAAAATCAGACCATTCTTTTTTTTTAAATAGTCTGAGGCTGCTTTTACACGGGAACGTTTGCGTTTATGCACAGTATGCGCTTTCATAAAAGTCTTCCGTTCACATGCATTCGTTTCATTTAACGTGTCTGTTCAAACGAGACCGCTGGAAACGCTGTAGTACATATGCCGGGACTGTAAGTGGCACTGTAACTTCCACCACAAAATACACCAAAAGCAGCGAAGAAGACCCCGGAGCAGCCCCGCAGCAATGTTGCCATGGCTACCCTTCTGTTTATGCCCCGTGGTGGATTTAGCAACATGTAGTAGTTCATGTAATTCTCCATGTCCACTTGTTGCTGATGGTTGTGGTAGAGGAGCTGTAGATTTTGCACTAACATCTGTAGCATGGTCGAGCTGTAGATGTTGTACTAACATCTGTAGCATGGTCAGTAGCAGTAGCACTAGCAGTAGCTACTGACAGTAGCTACTGGCCATGCTACAGCAGTGAGCAGCAGAGGCGGGGAGAGGTGGGGCTATCGTTATTTTTTCAGGAAATATTCGTATAGAGGCGATTACACGGACTCGTTTGACCCCCCAGAGCGTTTCGTTTGCAAATCTATCCACCTTGGGACCCGTTATCGTTTGTGGGGTCCGTTTGTTACGGCCTCGTGTAAATAATAGGGCTATACGCAAGAGAAACTATGCAGATACAAGCCGTTTCGTTCTCGTGTAAATGTGGCCTGAATGAAACGGCAGCTCTCAGGTGATCAGCTGTGTGTTTACACACCTAATGGCCCATCAGCCACAGTTCTCCCCCCCCCTGATCTCTCTTCTCCAGCAGTAAAGTTAACTGTAGGTTTGCATATTTATGCAGTGATCTGTCTCTTCATCTCTGAAATATGAACGTTAGTTTTTACTGAAATTATCAAATAAAGTAAACATTTCACAGTGTTTACAAACATTGACCATAACGTTCACCAGCCCCCACCCCCCTCTGAGTGACAAGCTGAGAAGTCAACTACTGTCAGGGAACATACTGTTACCCAGTTAGCTGTCTTTGTGTATTGCAACCAGCTGCAATGTATGGATCCACCAGGGAGAGCCGTGATGGACGCTGCCACAATGAAAATCATATGAAATAAACAGCTGATTCCTCACACACACAGTAGCCTGTTGTTTCTATGCATAAAATAGTGAGAAACATGCCTCTGGTTAATTATTATATAACTTGTTTTCTCCATAAAAGCTGGTGTGGTGGGTTGAAAGCAATACGGGAGGGAGGTGAAAATAACTATATTGTAGAATACAGAACAATTGTGATGCCGTGGCTTTATCTGAAAACTGAGAGCATAATTGCATTTATGGCCCAGGACAGACATATTTATTTAGATATGTTTTTTTTTTTGTTTTTTTTAACAAGAGATAGTAGCCTATGTTTCAAATAATTGCCCATCGGAATGTGTGGAGAAAGTCTCCCAAGGGAGATGGGAGACTTTTGACTTTTGTCACATTCCGATGGACAATCGGAATTACATGCAGGGCAGCATTGCCGGTCTGAAAGGGTCTATGGAAATATCAAACATTTAACTAGAGAATGCAATTCCTGAAGAAATTGCTAGTGGGAATGCTTTATGCTGAAAAGCTGATGCTGAATTGCTATGCTGAAATGTAATGTGTAAGAAGAAAGTGAAGAATTTAGATTGAAATGATACATGAACACTGGGGGCTAGAATGTGTGATAAGAGAAGAAAAGAAAGTAAAAAGGCTTGGAAAAGCAGCAGAATATTTGAACTGCAAACTATTGAACTAACTTGATGGCGAATGATCTGTCGCCATGGCAACGGTATTTGATGACAACCCATAATACGCTTAGATATGTTGATGGCTGCATCGTTACCAAACCTGTGAAGTTTTGGGCTGTTTGGAGCATTTTCACTGAAGTTATGAGAAAACCGTGTTTCATGGCGAGCATTGTGTTGCCATGGCAACGGCATTTGAAGAAATCTCAAAACTGTCCCGTAGATGTCTTCACGGCTGGACTGTTAGCACACATGTGAAGTTTTAGCACTTTTTGACAATTTTCATAGGAGTTATAGCAATATCGTGTTTTATTGCAAGGGATTGCCATGGCAACATCTTTTGAGGAAAACTCACTAATGGCCCATAGACATGTTGAGGGCTGGACCATTAACTGTCATCTGAAGTCTGGTGGTGTTTTGACCATTTTCATATCAGATACGACAACATCGTGTTTTGTGGCGAGGGATGCGTTTCCATGGAAACAGCCTATGGTGAGATCTCAGATTTGGCGTAGAGTTGTTGAGGCATGGACCGGTGATATACAAACGAAGTTTGGGGGACGATCGGACCGTGTCCATTGGAGTTACAGCGACATCGTGTTTTATGGCGAGGGACGGCATATGATGACACCCCATAATTGACGTAGAGCTGTTGAGGGCAGGACCATTAACCATTATCTGAAGTCTGCTGCTGTTTTATGGCGAGGGATGCGTTGCCATAGTAACACCACATTACGTAACATCAGATTTGATATAGAGCTGTGTTAACCATTATCTGAAGTCTGCTGCTCTGAGCATTACAGTAAGAGTTATGACATCATCGTGTTCCATGACACAGGTGTTTATATTTGAGCTAACGACATGTCTAGAGATCAAAGGTTTCCATGGTGATGTGCAGTAATCAGTGAGAGGAGAGCATTTGCATTGTTCTGAATGAGAGATAAACCTCTTACATGTGAATGTTTTGTTGAAGAACCGTAACAGATATCGGTGAAATTTCAAAGTGTGAAGCATGTCAAGGAACTTGAGCATCTGAAGTGTACTTTTTGTGTACTTCCGGGTTAATAATGTGGCCTTTTTGGCAGATTAACTAAAGGTGTGCGGCTGCTGTGGTGGGGAAAGATGAGGCTGAACTTACAATGGGGTTTAATGGAGACATGTTGAAAGTTTTTGTCCCTTCATGCCCTCAAGAGGCATTTTGTTTAATTATTTTGCTTAATTTTATTTTTATTTTTCAAGCTACGAGATGTTTTCCTACGTTCCTCATGAAAAATTATGTCTCAGGAATGTAGGGTTTGGGAATTATGGCATGTTTAAAAGAAAATATGAAAGCAAAATGTAATCTGTCCTCCACTCTAGCTGTGACATCACACACTCTAAAATCTGAAGTAGGCCTCTTTACCAAGATCTGAATAATGTTTAATATCTCTAAAAGTAAGAATCAGATTTAAAAGTTGTGTTACACGAATAATGTCAGAAAGATGTGTAACATTTTAAAGTTGGAATGAGGTTTCTGAGTGAAAGTATGAAGGAACAGTTAGCAGTTGAAGTCGCATGAAGATTTTTCAAGTCTGAAGAGTTTCTCCATTGACTTCCATGTTAAAAATGTGATGAATTATGGGATGTATCTCTGGAATTATGAAAGTTATGAATGAGAAAAGTAATAGCCATCGATTCCCGACCGAGCTGAACGTTTTGATGTTTGAACAGAGTTTCTGCGATGTGGAATGTGGGAGCAGAAGAGGCGCAAAATAACCCGGCGGAATAATAAAGAATTTTGTGCGTAGAAGAACAAGTAGTGGGAATGCTGTATCAGCATTCCCACTAAATTAAAGTTTTAAAAACAGTGACAGGTTAAAATCCGAGGTGGAAGAAGTATTCCGATTATTTAACTAGGTAAAAAGACGTGTTAGAAGCAAATGTCCTGCATTCCAAATTGTCAATAGCCCAAGTGAAAAGTATTATCATCTGAAAGTAAAATGAATCATTATGTTATTAGTATTAAATACATATAATTATTTGTACAACTTATATTTAGAAATACTCCGTTGTAATTATTGATGCATAAATGTGTTCATCCATTCAATGTGGCATCTATAATGGGGTTAATGTTAATGTGCTATAATGATATTATTTAATAATACAACACATTACTGTATAATACGTGATCATGTATGAGTTGATTTACTTTGATCTACTGTACTGTGTACACCACAACAATATTAAAAAAAATATACTGCATATTAAAGCAAACTATTGTAAAGGTAAAAGTATGAGCATAAAAAATAAAGAAGTGTAAACATTTACATTATGATTATTTAATATATAAAGACTATATATTATTGAATTACAATTAAGATAATAAGATTAGATATACTTTATTTGATCTAAAATATTTCGGTTGGAATCTGCTGGGTGGAGTCCTATCTGGAGTGCTACATCTGTATATATATTCATGTTGCTCTGTTGGATGACTTCAGTTTTTCATTGCCATATCTACACTGTAGCTGCTTAGCACATGATGATAAAGCATTTGGGGATTTTCATAATTTTCAGAAAAAGTCAGAATTTTGTGGAAAAGTTTGAATTTTGAGATTTTCCTGAAAAAAGTCAGAAGTTTTTGATTTTCAGAGAAAAGTCAGACTTTATGAAAAATGACTGTATCTATCTTTTATCTGATTTATCTGTTTTACTTGTTCTATGTCCTACATATATTCATGTTGCTCTATTGGCCTGTATAGCCTGTGACTTCAGCTTTGCATTACCATAATGAAAAGCTACACTGTAGCTGCTGAGCATATGATGATAAAGCCCTGTATCTTGAAACTCCTGCAGATCGCTCAGATCCAGATGCAGGACGACATCAGCATGTACGTGTTCCTGCCGGACGACGTGACGTCCAACACCACGCTGCTGGAGGAGAGTCTGACGGCAGAGTTCGTGCAGGACCTCTCCATGACGCTGATTCCTGTCGAGGTGTCCCTGTCGCTGCCCGCCCTGAAACTCAGCTTCTCCACCAACCTGCTGCCGCTGCTCACTGACCTGGGTTAGTCACAAACCATCCAACCAAAAACACATTCAGAAAACCATTGACTTCCAGACCAGAGGACATGGAAGTGATTAACCGGTTAAGCCGAAGAGACCCCGGTACCGGGGCCCTCTCGCAACATCTTGCAGGAAACAGTGTCTGAGGGCATCTTAATATTTAATAAACTATGAATGTTTTATATCCATGTAACGGGAAGAAACTCATTTTTTTTAAAGCCCACAATGCTAACGCTGAGCCTCTGAATTAGCAACGAGCGAAAAATGCTAACAGATTACTGCACCGAAACTCACTCATAAAACCTTATTATTTATCTTTTCTGCACATCCAACACATCGATTCACATTGTGAGGTGACACAGAATCGATGGGTACATACATTATCACTCTATGATACGAACTTGCGACTTTATAAACAAAAACAGACATCAAAACATGTGGCGCTAGGTAGCTAAAAACGCTAACATCGTTTACCTGTGTCGTTGTCTGGTCAAAAGTAGTCTTCAATGGGATTAAAACGATAAAAACGCTGCTGAAGTTAATCCATAGGTTAACCTTTTAAGCCCTGAGCCTGTTTTTCAGGTCTCAGGCTCGAAAATGACATTCCCAGAACAAATGACCATATCTTCCCTTCTAAAAGGGTTAAATTAATAATCTTTTTTCTCAAAGTAATGATAAACCTGTGAGTTGGATGTAGAAAAGTCAGAATCAATATAGATGTTTTTTATTTTAAAGAAAATTCAGATTTTACATAGTAAAAAACTGTAAATTATAGTGTCCGTCCAAATATTCTTTTTTACTTATAGTGAAAACTACCCTTGGATGATGGTAAGGTAGACTAAAAGCTTTAGGAATCCAAAGTACAACATATAATAAGTATCCTGTATCAAGATTGATGCAAAACAAGTGACATTTGACTTTTTTAGAGAGATTTAGCAAAAAGAAACCACTTCTGGGGTCATTATTTCTGATAATCCATAAGCAATAAACCTGCTTTTCCGTTTCCAGATGTCAGAGCGAGAGATAGGTTCACTCTGACGCAAACCTGCATGCGCAAAGCCCTCACCTTTTTCTTTTACCATGTGTGTGTGTGGGGAAATTCCCCTTCGATTCTATTGGCTCTAACGGTCAGAAAGAGATGTCAATCACCAAAATCGACCAATGGGTTCCAGAGAAACGGTAAAACCCCCATTTCCACCCAAATCACCTCAGAGGTGGAGTTGTTTTTGCTAAACCTCTCTAAAAAAGTCAAATGTCACTTTGGACGGACACTATACTTTACAGTTTTTTACTATGTTCAATCTGAATTTTCTTTAAAATAAAAAACATCTATATTGATTCTGACTTTTCTACATCCAACTCACAGGTTTATCATTACTTTGAGAAAAAAGATTATTAATGTAACCCTTTTAGAAGGGAAGATATGGTCATTTGTTCTGGGAATGTCATTTTCGAGCCTGAGACCTGAAAAACAGGCTCAGGGCTTAACAGGTTAAATAAGATAACATGACATACGATACGACATGATACGATAATACTTTAATGGTCAGATCAAGTGTGAAATTCGAGTTGCATCACAGCAGCTCCATGTGCAACATCAACAGACAAATATCAAGACACATGAAAAACAAACAACACACATTGCACATAACAGCAGGATCAGTGAGAGAAAAGCTGCTCAAAGAGCCTTCAGATCAGATTCAGCTGTGAGGAGTAAATAAAATGGACCTTTATTAATCCCCGGGGGTAAATTCAGTAGTTTAACAGCAACAGGGTGAGAATGAAAAACAGGACAGCACAGATTCACACAGATTAGAGTTTATAGAAATCAGTGTCCCAACATCTAACTAAGTCCAATAAAGAGTAAGAGTAAGGTGAAAGAAATAGAGAAAAGACAAAAAGAAACAAAGGAGAGCTGCTAAACAGGCTGCCACTCAGGGCGGCGCCAAGTAAATCAGAATTAGAATCAGAATCAGAAACAGGTTTATCACCAGGTAGGTTGACACGTACGAGGAATTTGACTTGGTGTCGTGGTGCATGCATAAAAGTAAAACAAAAATGAGACACAGATAGACAACTATTTTAAGAAAACTACAATAACATAAAAAAATAAGAAAAAGCAGTACTTACATTGAGTATCATACTGACTCATTCATGCCTCCTGCAGGACTCTCTGATTGGCTCGCAGACACGGACCTGGAGAAGATCTCGACCCAGGCTACCAAGCTGGGAAGTGTCAATCACAAGGTCGCCATGGAGACGGCGCCCGAGGGGAACCAATACCCGAGGAGCGGTGCTCCGGGTCACCTGACGTACCGCGTGGACCGCCCCTTCCTGTTCCTGATCCGGGACGAGGCCTCGGGCGCGCTGCTGTTCATCGGCAGAGTGGTCAACCCTAAAACCCTGACAATGTAACACACACACACACACATGCTTTCTCTACAACAGATATCACACTTTTCCAAAATGTTTCACACTTTTAGGGGAATTTGCAAACTATGTGTGAAACTGCATGTGGTGAGAACAAGTCTGAATAACAATGATAGACACACACACACACACACACACACACACACACACACACGCACACACACACACACACACACACACACACACACACACACACACACACACACACACACACACACACACACACACACACGCACACACACACACACACACACACACACACACACACACACACACACACACACACACACACACACACACACACACACACACACACACTCACTCTTAGCAGGTTCTAGGAGGGGTTTCAGCTGTTTGCTTATATTTGCGAGGATATTTGATTTAACGTTTTCGTCTTATATTTAATTTTTTCACGATGAAACATGTTAGCGTGCTCATGTTAGCATGACAAACACACTGACAATATTCTGAGCTCAAAAGTGTAGTTTTAGAGAAAATAAATCAAATGTTTTCTTCAAAGAAATAAACGACAATGAAAGGAAACACGTCTCTCTGGTTCCGTTTGTTCCTGCTCCCCAGAGGATGAACCTTTCATTTCTTAAAGAGGCCCTATTCTTCTTCTGTGGTGTTCCTTCTCCTGTAGTGTGTTATATAGGTTTTAGTGCATGTAAATGGTCTGCAAAGTCCCTGTGTTCCCTCCAGAGGGAGTTTCTCTCCCACACACTCCCCCGAACTTTGACAAAATAAAATGAGGTATAAATGAGTGTGCGTGTGTGTGTGTGTGTGTGTGTGTGTGTGTGTGTTTGTGTGTGTGTGTGTGTGAGTGTGTGTGTGTGTGTGTCCTGCACACATGTGGTCTTGATTTTCCACGGAAAGATTCCTGAGGTTTCTGCAACGCTGCCCAGGAGAAACTGGAGAAGAAGAAGAAGAAGAAGATTTTTGGATCCTTCAGAACAACGATATAAAAAACTCAAAGTAAAAGTCTTGCCATCAAAATCCAACATGAGAAAACTGCAGGAGAAATGTCTCCTGCTGTGAGTGATAGTGTTGAAAGACATTCTCAGATCCTTTATTGCAGTATCTGGAAAATACTCCACTCCAAGTACAATGTAATGCATTCAAAACCAAGAAAAACTAGCAAAATTGAGTTTTGGAAAAAAATGACTCAAAAGAAAAGCAGCCAATATTGTAATTTAGGTAGACAAAAAAAAGGTCATGTCTTTGTTCAGGCATGCATTTTAAAGGCAGGTTTATACAGCAGCTTTCAACACAAGGGAATTCAAAGTTTACAGAAACTAAAGACATTAGTGCAGCAGAATCACGTTATAAAATGTTAACCCCTGAGCCTGTTTTCCAGGTCTCAGGCTCGAAAATGACATTCCCAGAACAAATGACTATAACTTCACTTCTAAAAGGGGTAAATTAATAATCTTTTTTCTCAAAGTAATGATAAACCTGTGAGTTGGATTTAGAAGAGTCAGAATCAATATAGATGTTTTTTATTTTAAAGTAAATTCAGATTGAACATAGTAACAAAATGTAAATGATAGTGTCCGTCCAAAAGAAAAACATTACTTATAGTGAAAACTACCCTTGAATGATAGGATAGTAGACTAAAAGCTTTAGGAATCCAAACTATAACGTATAATAAGTACCCTGTATCAAGATTGATGCAAAAGAAGTGACATTTGACCTTTTTAGAGAGGTTCAGAAAAAACAACCCACTTTTGGGGTCCTTTCGGTGGATTTACCCTATCTCTGGAACCCATCAGTCGATTTTGATGATTGACACCTCTTTTGAACCATTAGAGCCAATAGAATCGAGAGGGAAGTTCCTAAAATCCATCTAAACATTACCATTGGTGAATGAGAGTGATGCGCAGCCAGCATGCCCAAAACCAGAAGCTGGGTTGTCGCTCTAATAGTGCTAATAACAGCTAATATGAAATCTCAGTTTTTGACAAAAATGGAATGATGGATTATCAGAAATCATTTCAAAGTGACACAGAGACATTGGATTAACCTATGGATTAACCTTCAGCAGCGTTGTTATCGTTTTAATGCCATTGAACACAACTTTTGATCAGAAAATCAGCAAGGGTAAGACTATTTTCCGTTTTTGCTCTTAGACGTTTCTTGTGAGACTTGTGTTTTGTTTTTCGGTAAAAATGGTTCGTATCGTCAGTTAGCTAAGTTTCTTCCCGTTAAGTGGGTATGACACATTAATAGGTTGTTAAATGTTAAGAAGCCCTGAGACACAGTTTCGTGAAAAAAAAGCCCGGGGATGCCGGGCTTAACAGGTTAAAAAGCAAAGATAATAAAATAACCCAGGTATAAAATAAGACATGAATACAGTTACAGTGCAGTCTGAGATATGAATAGTTCTCTAGACTGGATTTAAAAGGACCTGCAGGATTCTGGGAGTTTGTTCCAGATGTTTGGATAACTAAACATCTCCAGGTTTATTTCTGGTTCTGGGGACAGAAAGCAGACCAGAAGACCTGAGAGTTCTGGATGGATCATAATGTAGCAGCAGATCAGAATAAACCATTTGATGCTTTATAAACCAGTAGCAGTATGAAGTATCTGACAGGAACCAGTGTAAAGACCTCAGAACTGGACTGATCCACTTTCTTAGTGTTAGTGAGGAACCAGTGTAAAGACCTCAGAACTGGACTGATCCACTTTCTTAGTGTTAGTGAGGAACCAGTGTAAAGACCTCAGAACTGGACTGATCCACTTTCTTAGTGTTAGTGAGGAACCAGTGTAAAGACCTCAGAACTGGACTGATCCACTTTCTTAGTGTTAGTGAGGAACCAGTGTAAAGACCTCAGAACTGGACTGATCCACTTTCTTAGTGTTAGTGAGGAACCAGTGTAAAGACCTCAGAACTGGACTGATCCACTTTCTTAGTGTTAGTGAGGAACCAGTGTAAAGACCTCAGAACTGGACTGATCCACTTTCTTAGTGTTAGTGAGGAACCAGTGTAAAGACCTCAGAACTGGACTGATCCACTTTCTTAGTGTTAGTGAGGAACCAGTGTAAAGACCTCAGAACTGGACTGATCCACTTTCTTAGTGTCAGTGAGGAACCAGTATAAAGACTTCAGAACTGGACTGAACCTCTTTCTTAGTGTTAGTGAGGAACCAGTGTAAAGACCTCAGAACTGGACTGATCCTCTTTCTTAGTGTTAGTGAGGAACCAGTGTAAAGACCTCAGAACTGGACTGATCCGCAGCTTTCTAATAGATTTATAGTGAGACCTGTAAAGACACCGTTATCGAGTCTACTGAAGATAAAAGTGTTTCCAAATCCTGCTGTGACATTATTCTTTTAATCCAAGATATATTCTTAAAGTGATAGTAGGTGGACTTAGTAACTGTTTTAATGTGACTGTTGAAAAAGCAGGACTTTTTAATGTGGTGGTATTTGTGATGTTTGACATCCAGTGTCCAGCAGAGGGAGACAAACACCACTTAAATTCACTCATACCCTTTGGAAATGTTTGATATTTAAACTTTACTTGAGTCAACACATGTTCTACCCCTTATTCCAGAGCGTTTAACATAACTATACTATCATCATCATCATCATCATCATCATCATCATCATCAACACTTAATCAGAAGGTTGTAAAAGCTTGAAATACTTTATAATGGTGATACCTCTTTCATCTGTGTCCAGACAAAGCTTTGAATGAAATAAAGAACCTTCCTGGGCAAACGCTCACTTCTTCTTTCTTCTTTTAGCGGCTGAGTGTCTTTCTGATGAAACACCTTCAGACTGAACCCTCCTGTTTCCTGTCTGAGCTGCACATGTTATTTATAGAGAATGATGAAAAGTGTCTGTAGGAGGATGAGCCCCAAATAGAACTCACTCAAAAAACATTCATATTTTTTAACAGTTAAACCCTTCTAATAAAGGTGAGTTTGAGAAACCGGCTCGAGATACACTTTTTGTTATATTCCATGGAATGCTCTTAACATCCCGATAGCAATGAATATCTGAAGTGCTTTGACAATAAATACATAAAAAAATGTCATCTGTGGAAGCCGTAATACTGTAAAAAGCACGACCAATCATCTGAGCCGGCCCGGCTAAAATAACTGGATGGCCTACCTGCCTGTCAGCCTTCCATCTGTGCACAAACTTATCTCGTGCCCTCATTGGTCATGTGCGCGTTCGTGTGTGTTGGAGGAGGGGCTCTGTAAGGAAGTGGCAGATTTTCTCCGGTTGTGTATTTTCAAATTCTAGCGATCTCGAGCCGGTTTCTCCAAAATGACCTACCCCACCTTTAAGTGTTGTATTTTATTTGTGGTTTTATTATTATCTTTTTTACTTTACTGCATTTTACTACTTTAAGCTTCCTCATTTTTCACTTTAAAATGTATTTGATTTGTTTGAAAAGGGCAGTAAAAATAAAGTTTGATTCCTTCGTCACAATAATCCAGGGTTATTTCTTTTTTACTTTATTGTCCTGCATTTAGTGCTTTACTGTTTTATGTACTTAATGTGGGGGAAACTTCTGTGTAGCAATGCATTGGGAGTCACCGACTCAGGAAGGAGACACGGTGAGAGTTGGAGCTTTGATGTCAAACACTGATGGGTTTATTCAGAGTATTCGGCCGGAGGATTCACATCACAAGTCAAAGAGTCAGAGGTTCTGACTTCACGGTAGAGTTGCCACGTCCATTCTGAAGAGCCTCTCTCTATGCTAGACCTTTTAACTGGTTCACAGAGAGTAATCAACATCTCTGAAGGAGTAGACCAAACAGCTGGGAACACTGAACCACCTGCGTCCGACACTCATGGCCTCGAAGATTTCACATCTTAGAGTCCACAAACACCGATAAAGAAGTGCCTCAGCGTTCCCACAACAATTACCATTCGTGCCAGACAAGTTGACCGGTCACAAACTGATGACAACAACACATATGGCACCAATGCCTTTCCTTAAAGGAGATAACAGACGTCAGAGTAGGTCATAAAACGTCACAGAGCAAAAGGTTAGATATCTAGAAGAATTATTCCTTAACACTTAATGCATTTGTTAAGCGAGATTAAAGTCCTTCATTTATCAGAAAAGCAACTATTTTGCCAGGTTGGGTCATCGCCCGCTCTCAGACTCTCTTAAGTTTCTTTTGCAAATATATGACTTTTTGATTTAAAACATCACATTTTCAACCATAAATCCAGTCATTTAATGTCTCTAGATGTATATAACTGCTGCAATATGTGGCATGTTTCTGCTGTAGATGCTTTCACCTCCTTTTTATGCTCTACATCTGCACCAATGCATCGTATTTGAGAAGATGTTTGTAGCTTTGTCCTGTGAGAACCACATATCTTTAAAAAGTCAACATTTTTGTTCTCAGAAAACAGCCCTGTTCTCAGGTTGGGTTGATACATTTTCCAGCTGATCCAAGAGTCCTTGAAATCCTTCATTCAGCTTCAGAAGAAGTATCATTTTCTGAGACGTTGACATGTTTGAGCCTGCAGAAGGAAACTGTTGCAGCAACAACACGCTGAAGCCTGTCTGTGTGTGCCGAGAGCGTCAGGAATGTTTCATATAAACAAAGAGAGGGGATTATGAAATCATTGATCTGTCTCTGGAGACGGTTTGAAGACTTAGGATCTGAAGAGAAAGTAAAACCAATGAAGCAATCAGTCAGGATTTAATAGAGCATGAGGAAAACGTTGGCTAGAGTCAGCAATGCATCCAACAATCGTGGACATATTTCAGTCTGAAAGTAAGAGGGGGACTGAGAGGTATTTAGTGTCTGAAGTGGGGTTGTGTGAGGTACTTATAATAAAAATCTATTTATACTAGTGCAGAGCGTGTCAGGAATGCGCTCATGCTTCATGGGTTTTGAAGTGAGTGTGCACATGTTTACGGTACAGTCTACACATCATGAGTGTATTTTAGGACCTCTAAAAAAAGCCAGATTTAGTGTGTTTGCTCAGATTTGATGGAAGAAAGCCAAAATTCAGACTGACCAACAAACAACACGTCTTCATTTAAAAGACCCACGCAATTGGGCAGCTTCAGCAACCTGTACCGTAAAGGTGCGAATAAACGAGCAACGTGTTTACCCCAGAGACTCATTTCTATCCCCGCTAACGGACAGGCCTGTTATTTGGGAAAACTGTTTTTAAAAAGGGTCTGGTGGTAGTGGTCATGTTGTTGTCTGGATTTTGATGCATCTTTACGTCCGCTAACCGGAGTCATGATGAACGGACCAGGTTTCGCAGTTTCCCATGGAGACGCTGTTCCAATGGCCTCACACGGGGCACCATATCATTACGGTATTTAAAACAGATATAACAAGTATGAGAATTGTACAGGGTACCTTTATATGACGGAGATACTGTATCTGCTTATCAATAGGACATAGCTGGGGTCCTCAGAGTGACTGCACGGGGGCCGCAAAAATGTGAAACTGAAGACACATCCATTTTTTAAGTTTATTAAAGATTCCTCAGACAACATGTTTCACAGCTTTAGATTAATAAAAAAATAGCTTTGAAAGTGAATTTCAGAGTTTAGAAGTGGAGCAGATTAAAACCAGACATGTCAATAAAAAACGTGACTCTTCAACGATCACCATACACTCTGAGAAATGTACAATTATTATATATTTATAAAATGATTAAACTAAAATCTATGCAGGATTTAATGTCCAATGAAAAAAATAAAAAAATAAAAGTTTTTGACTAAAATAAGGACAGTTGAAGAATCACACCAATATCATTTCTAACCAGTTCCCTGTCCAGAACAGATTGAGTGCTTCCACATGTGTATTCTTTCACAGACAGAGGGTTAATGTTTACATGTTTATCACATTTATTTTGTGTAAACAAGATAGCTTTCTGAACCGAGTCGCCTGCACACCAGCCATGTAAAAAAATAGCTGTATGACGTTCCATTTTGTATATAAACAAAGAAATATTTACAGAAACATTGACTGTTTAAAAAAATATGCGGCATCTTTTTCGGAGCTTTCAGAAGCAAGTCATTGTGTAAGTACTCCAGAATGAGATCCACTCTGCAGGGTTAGCATGGCTAGCTTCACAGTGATGCTATAACAGCGGTTAGCATCCACCACTGAGACGCAGGACATTTGAGGGTCTGGCTGAATGACCGTGCCTCCAGTGAGAGCGCCGGACCATGCACAGAACAAGAAGATTTGAAAGGAGATCCGCTGCTTTCTTTAGGGTCGCTTAGAAAAGTTTGGTGCAACCGCCTCAACACCAAGAGCCCGACTGAAGTAACTTGAGAGAAGTTAAAATAAACTAAAAGCTGAACTTGAAAACCCAGAAAAGTGAGTACAATGAGCGGAGAGGTTAATACATCGTCTTTGTCCCAATACATTGATCAGCTTATGTACATCCACTGGAGTGTGAGCGTTAGTGAAACAATACAACATGAGAGACTCTGATTATACAGGCCGACAGATCCTTTACATGAACTGCAGTTTTGTTAGCGTAGCAGCTTCCACGTTAGCATTCTCTTTGAACTCTTGTTCTGCTTCGTTCAGCGTCTTTATTTCCCTGCGTCCTCTCGCTGTGTGTCTTCAGGTTTTGATTCCCTCCAGCTCCTTCTCTTTAGACGAAGCGCTCACCATCGCATACCCTCCCTTCACTCCTTTACCCTCCGTCTCCATCTGCCCGGCCCTCCGGCGCAGCACCACGATGGTCAGCAGGAAGCAGAGCAGCGCGCCGCACACAAACACCACCTGCAGACCCAGAAACCTACACACACACACACACACGGTGTCAAAGATTGTGTCGTTTGGTGACCTGTGTAGTGTCTAATGAAGGTTAATCCAATCCAACTTTATTTATATAGCACATTTAAAAACAACAGAGTTAAAGTGCTGTACATCAATAAATATATAGCAAAACGCAGCATAAATACATTTAGACGAAACAAATGTAAAAGCACGAGACAATAAAACCATACTTGTAGCCACGGACTGAAAAACTCTCAAACACGATGTAAAAACATTTGAAAACTTTGGTTTTAAAAAGCCAGATTATTGAAAAACTACTGGACATATTTTAATTAAACTTGGTGGAAGTGTGAAGCAGAGACTAAGGAAGAACCTATTTACATTTTTAGCAGATCTGAATCAGGACTCCAGCCTAACGTCATGATTTCTAGAGGGTGCGAAACCTCAAGAATCTGCCAGACCGAGCTGCTGAGTAAAGGCTTCCTCTGAGGAGTTCTGAGATTTGTTTTATAGGGTTCGTTACCAGGATCAAAGACAAACTATTGCACAATTTTTCATGAAACTTGGTGGAAGTGTGCTGCATGGACCCAAGGGGAAAACCCTGTTACATTTAGAGGATATCTGAATCACGGCTCCAGACTCAGGAGTTTCCAGGGTCAAAACCTCAAGAATCTGCCAGAACCAGAAGCTCTTCATTCTGCCAAGGAGGTCGTGTTTTTAGTTTGTTGGTCTGTTTAAGTACACAGTCACTAAGTACTTATCAAAAGACGAGGCTAATAGACCCACGTCTCACCTGTCATATCATGGCTTCACAAAATAAAAAATAAATTAAATTATAAAAAATGTAAACCAAACCATTTTTTATAAAAAATGAAGAATATACAAATTAAAACAAATTAAATAAAAAAAATTGTATAAAAATTACAAAAATATAAAAAGGTTTACGATGAAAAAATAAATATAGAACATTTTAATTAATAAAGAAAAATATAATACAAATGTTGCTGACCTCTGTCTGAAGCGGTCCAGGTCGTAGTACTGACAGGAAGTCTTCTTGCTGCACTTCCTGCCCCACCAGATGCAGGTACTGTCGATGACGCTGCCGTACAACACCGGGCCGGGCATGAACGCTGCACACACACACACACACACACACACACACACACACACACACACACACACACACACACACACACACACACACACACACACACACACACACACACACACACACACACACGGTCAAAGATTGTGTCGTTTGGTGACCTGTGTAGTGTCTAATGAAGGTTAATCCAATCAAACTTTATTTATATAGCACATTTAAAAACAACAGAGTTGACTAAAGTGCTGTACATCAATAAATATATAGCAAAACGCAGCATAAATACATTTAGACAAAACAAATAAAAAGATTTCCCTCTCAATATGAAAATGTTTTAAATGCATACACTGCTGTATTGACAGATCTGAGGTCAGTGAATGAAGGTCTCAGAGTTTAACCTCAGACCTGGTGTGTGCCTTGCTCAAAGTGCAGAGGAAGTCATTACTTACCGAGCACTCTGAACAGCATGTACTGCACCCCCACTGCGAACGACTTGTCCTCCGCAGGCACCGTCCTGCAGAAACACAGCATGACAAACAAGTGATACAATCAGTGTGAGGAAATCAGTGTGCACTTCCTGTGGGCGCACCGTCACGCTGTGGTTATCCTTATAATTGCTGTGGTGTTGTTGTTGTTATATCTGTGGTTTTTGAGTCACTTCGTAGTCGTTCTTTGTTCATTAGCAGCTGTTTTATATCAGAGTAACATTTTCTGTTGATGGTATCTCAACATTCTGTCAACTCGAGTCATTTTCCCTTCAGTCTGACCGTCTAAACTCTATATTAATGGACTCTGAATTGTCCTGAAAGGTAAACTGGACCCTGCTGAAACCAGTGTGACCATTTAGATAAAACCAAAACTGTAACGATGAGCCTCAAGGTTTACCAAATCATTAAAATAAATTACACGTGGAGGTCCAACAGCAACTGGAAACCTTTGAGAAAACAGAACAAGCTTTTTTTGGTTTTTGTGTGACTTTGTAGTCGTTCTATGTTCATTAGCAGCTGTTTTGTGTCTGTAGTAAGATATAAAAGTAATTGGTTCATTTTCTGTTGATGGTATCTCAGCAGACGTTCCTGCTGCTGTCAACTCTACTTTGCGCTTGTTTTTAGAGCGTTTTCCCTTCAGTCTGACCGTCTAATCTTTATATTAATGGACTCTAATCAGGAATTGTCCAGAAAGGTAAACTGGACCCTGCTGAAACCAGTGTGACCATTCAGATAAACTAAAACTGGAACGATGAGCCTCAAGGTTTACCAAATCATTAAAATAAATTCCATGTGAGGTCCAACAGCAACTGGAAACCTTGGAGAAAACAGAACATGCTTTTTTTTGTTTTTGTGTGACTTTGTAGTCGTTCTATGTTCATTAGCAGCTGTTTTGTGTCTCTCTTTGTAGTTAAATATCAATCAGAGTAATTGGTTCATTTTCTGTTGATGGTATCTCAGCAACTCTACTTTGTGTTTGTTTTTAGAGTGTTTTTCTTTCAGTCTGACCGTCTAATCTTTATATTTCTAACTCTCTGAATTGTCCTGGAAGGTAGACCGTGAGGCTCAGAGTTCCAGTTTGGTTTTATCTGAAGCGTCACGCTGGTTTCAGCAGGATCCTGGCAGCTGCTTTATCCATCAGTGCCTGGTTCTCTGATGAGGAACAGGTGAGGCAGCAGCTTAGGAAAATAAAAGTCTCTGCTTTTAAACGACAACGCCCCCCCCCTCCCCCCCTTTCTGACCCTCTAATCATTTCCATATAATCCAAAAAACTTGTTCTGTTTTCTCAAAGGGTTCCAGCTGCTGTTGGACCTCCGTGTGGAATTTATTTTAATGCTTTGCAGCTGTGAGCAGCTCTTTTGTTTTAGGTATCTTCAAATCACATGAGTGTTGTAATGTTTAATATAAACTTAAATTAGAGTCATATGTGCATATCAGATGCTATTTAGTTTAACATTTCTGCTTTTTTTTAACCAACGATAATTATTACACAGAGAGCTGCTGTTCCTCTCTGGATATTGAGGTTGGTAGATTAAAACGTACGGTGGCCCGGAAGTGCAAGACACCACAGCATTTCACAAAACACCACAGCATTTCAGAAAACACCGCAGCATTTCAGAAAACGCAACAGCATTTCAGAAAACACAACAGCATTTCAGAAAACACCGCAGCATTTCACAAAACACAACAGCATTTCACAAAACACAACAGCATTTCACAAAACACAACAGCATTTCACAAAACGCTGCAGCATTTCAGAAAACGCCGCAGCATTTCAGAAAACACAACAGCATTTCAGAAAACACAACAGCATTTCAGAAAACACCACAGCATTTCACATTGGACGGAAAGGGTATTCCTTTAGGGAGAACACTTCTTGTTTGTGATTGGACAGAGCCAGCCAGAGAAGCACTGCTGTGATTGGTTGTTTTTGCTGCCAGTCAAGAAATGACGCTTCGTGATTGGTCAGCACCCGACAGCGCAACATGTCCCAACACATCAACCGTTAGCTGTTAGCACACACTCAGAGCTCACAGCTCCTCATATCTGTTCAGAAACTGGACAAAAGTTAAACATGTACAAACCACAGACTGCCTGTGTCATGGCGAATACAGTCGCTGCTTTATTTATGTCTGTATGACGTTGTTGTGAGTGTGGACGGAGCAGCTACAGGTTAGTTTAGCCTGATGGATCCGATTCCATTCAGAAAACACGCATTTTAAAAGCTTTTCGCCTGCCGTCTTGTCTGCAGACTTGTCAAAGCATTAATTCATGGTTTTTACTAACCGGTATCAGTATGTAGTTACTTCGGCATCACTTTGAAACGTGTATTACAATTAAATCACGGTCAATATGTTCATTTTGTTGTAGTTGGTATCTCCCATAGGATTTACATGGAGATACGCCCCGCCCCCTCTCCAGCGCGTCTTGTTTGAATGACAGGAACAAACACAGCTGACAGCCGCCGTGAAACTCGAGCGATTAGAGCGATGCGAATATTGGGTAGTCTACCATAGTATTTACATGGAGATAAGCCCCTTAAAAACCATGAATTAATAAAGCATTAATTCATGTTTTTTTCGCATCGCTCTAATCGCTCGAGTTTCACCGCAGCTGTCAGTGTTTACTCCTGTCATTCAAACAAGACGTGCTGGAGAGGGGGCGGATCGATCAGGCTAAACTAACCTGTAGCTGCTCCGTCCACACTCACAACAGCGTCATACAGACATAAATAAAGCAGCGACTGTATTCGCCATGACATAGACAGTCTGTGGTTTGTACTTGTTTTTTTGTCCAGTTTCTGAACAGATATGAGGAGCTGTGAGCTCTGAGTGTGTGCTAACAGCTAACGGTTGATGTGTTGGGACATGTTGCGCTGTCGGGTGCTGACCGATCACGAAGCGTCATTTCTTGACTGGCAGCAAAAACAACCAATCACAGCAGTGCTTCTCTGGCTGGCTCTGTCCAATCACAAACAAGAAGTGTTCTCCCTAAAGGAATACCCTTTCCGTCCAATGTGAAATGCTGTGGTGTTTTCTGAAATGCTGTTGTGTTTTGTGAAATGCTGTTGTGTTTTGTGAAATGCTGTTGTGTTTTGTGAAATGCTGCGGCGTTTTGTGAAATGCTGCGGCGTTTTCTGAAATGCTGTTGTGTTTTCTGAAATGCTGTTGTGTTTTCTGAAATGCTGTGGTGTTTTCTGAAATGCTGTAGTGTTTTCTGAAATGCTGTTGTGTTTTGTGAAATGCTGTGGTGTTTTGTGAAATGCTGTGGTGTCTTGCACTTCCGGGCCACCGTAAAAACATATTTACAAGGAGAATACATTTTGTAATTTGGGTGAAGGAAAGTTTGTCAGGTTTCTTTACAATGCAAAACTTATACTTACTTATAAGGACCTCTTGTGTTTTCAATAAAGGGACTCGACTGCCTCGAAAAATATCTAGCACGATTTGTTCAAATCAGCTTAATAGGGGCATATTTCCCCAGTACTTTATATTAAATATTGTATACATACAACGAAGCTGTGAACATTTGATTATGAAAGTTGTTTAAGTTCCCTCAATATTTTAACGCATTTGCTGCACTCTGTTTTCTTAAATAGAATATAATAGAATATATCTTATTGTCATTATACAGAGTGGTGAAAGCAGAGGTAGTAGCGATGACAGTGCATCGAGATAAAATTCAATGTCAATGTGCATATTTACACTTACAGTCTAAACACTTTAAATGTAGTGTATTTCTAACTGTGTGTTCATAAATGGTTATAGTAACCAAATGTAAATGTACTGATGGTGTCTTTGTATGCTCCTGCAGGATGATAGCCCAGTTGCATTTGTGACATAACAATTCAGATCATATTTTGACATTTTGACCCTCATGCTTTCCCACCTGAGGATCATCATGACGGAGGGCGTCTGGGAGAAGGAGGCGATGAAGCTGGTGACGCCCAACAGAGCCACGAAGGGGAGCAGGAGGTTTGAGCATCCACTGCCACAAGTCCCCGGAGAGGCGACGCCGAGACCCCCGACACACTCACACTCAGTGTAGTTCTACAGACACATATAACAGGGGTGAGACAGCGCCCCCTACAGGCTGTGGGGGTCTTTACAGACACAATAAATAAATAAATAACAAAGACAGGTCATGGGGTCATCTGTCCTCTGGAGAGATTAGGATATTTAAAAGTGCACGATTAGTTCCGTGACAGTGGTGAAATGAGTTCCCAGATAAATATCGATTTAGTTCCCTGAAAGTGGAGAAATTAATTCCAGGTAAATACTGAAGTGAGTTCCCTGAGATCCCTTAACCTGTTAAGCCCTGAGCCTGTTTTTCAGGTCTCAGGCTAGAAAATAACATTCCCAGAACAAATGACCATATCTTCCCTTCTAAAAGGGTTAAATTAATAATCTTTTTTCTCAAAGTAATGATAAACCTGTGAGTTGGATGTAGAAAAGTCAGAATCAATATAGATGTTTTTTATTTTAAAGAAAATTCAGATTGAACATAGTAAAAAACTGTAAATTATAGTGTCCGTCCAAAAATTCTTTTTTACTTATAGTGAAAACTACCCTTGGATGATGGTAAGGTAGACTAAAAGCTTTAGGAATCCAAAGTACAACATATAATAAGTACCCTGTATCAAGATTGATGCAAAACAAGTGACATTTGACCTTTTTAGAGAGGTTTAGCCAAAAACACTCCACCTCTGAGGTGATTTGGGTGGAAATGTTTTTTTTTCCATATCTCTGGCCCCCCTTGGTCGATTTTGATGGTTGACACCTCTTTCTGATGGTTAGAGCCAATAGAATCGAAGGGGGATTCCCCCCCACACACACGTTGTAAAACAAAAAGGTGGGGGCTTTGCGCATGTAGTTTTGCATGAGAGTGAAGCTATCTCTCGCTCTGACATCTAGAAACGGAAAAGCAGTCTTATTGGCAGTCTTATTTCTCATGGATTATCAGAAATCATTTCAAAGGGACACAGACACATTGGATTAACCTATGGATTAACTTCAGCAGCGTTTTTATCGTTTTAATGCCATTGAAGACCACTTTGGAGCAGACTACAGAGACAAGGTAACCATGTTAGCATTTTTAGCTACCTAGCGCCACATGTTTTGATGTCTGTTTTTGTTTATAACGTCGCGATTTCGTATAATTGAGTGATAATGAGGGTACCCTTCGATTCTGTGTCACCTCACGATGTCATGGATGTGGAGAAAAGATCAATAATAAGGTTTTGTGAGTGATTTTCGGTGCAGTAATCTGTTAGCATTTTTCGCTCGTTGCTAATTCAGAGGCTCAGTGTTAGCATTGTGGGTTTTAAAAATTAAAATGATCAGTTAGATTAGTTTCTTCCCGTTACATTGATATAAAACATTCATAGTTTATTAAATGAACATGCCCTCAGACACTGTTTCCTGCAAGATGTTGCGGCAGTGCCCCGGTTCCGGGGTCTCTCGGGCTTAACAGGTTAAAAAGTAAAGAAATGAAGCCCTTACAATAATGAAATTAGTTCTCTATCTGTGTTTTAAAATATTTGTTTTACTTTTATGTATGCACGATGACATGGAGTCAAATTCCTCGTACGTGTCAACATACCTGGTAATAAACCTGTTTCTGTTTCTGATTCTGATAACCGGGGTGAGACAACGCCCCCTACAGGCTGTGGGGGTCATTACAGACACAGTCAACATTGAATTAAGCAACCTTATATTGCCGAAAGTAGTTCCCAGTCAATGGTGAAAGTAGTTCCCTTACATTTGTAAAATAACATCCCTGTCAAATGTGTTCCCTGTCAGTGGGGTTGTATGATCCCTGTCAATAGTGAAATTAGTTCCCTTTCAAAATCCCAAATAAGTTCCTCGTTAGTATTTACATCAGTTCCCTAAACTTCTAAAATGAGTCACCTTACAGTGCTTAAATTGCTTCTCTGTAAATATTGAAATTAGTTCCCTGACAGTGGTGAAATTCATTCCAGATAAATACTGAAATTAGTTCCCTGAGATCCCTAAAAAGTTATGAAATGAATCCTTTTTAATAATGAAATGAGTTCCCTAACGAAGGTAAACATAGTTCCCTATTACTGGGGGAAGTAGTTCAACATTATTTTGAGTCGTTTTTTTCTGATTCGTTGTCATTAGTATAATTAGTTCCATGTCACTAGTTAAATGAGTTCCATATGAATGGTGAAATTATTTTCCTGTCAAAATTGTATTAAGTAACCTTACATTTCCAAAAGTAGTTCCCAATCAATGGGGAAATTAGTTCCCTTACATTTGTAAAATAACATCCCTGTCAAATGTGTTCCTGTCAGTGGGGTTGCATGATCCATGTCAATAGTGAAATTAGTTCCCTTTCAAAATCCAAAATAAGTTCCTCGTTAGTATTTACATTAGTTCCCTAAACTTGTAAAATGAGTCACCTTACAGTGCTTAAATTGCTTCTCGGTAAATACTGAAATGAGTTCCCTAAGATCCCTAAAAAATGTATGAAATGAATCCTTTTCCTTTTTAATGTAATGAGTTCCCTAACGAAGGTAAACATAGTTCCCTGTTAATGGGGAGAGCGGTTCAACATTATTTTGAGTCGTTTTTTTCTGATTCGTTTTCATTAGTATAATTAGTTCCCTGTCACTAGTTAAATGAGTTCCATATGAATGTTGAAATTATTTTCGTGTCAAAATTGTATTAAGTAACCTTATATTGCCAAAAGTACTTCCACGTCGATAGGGAAATGAGTTCCCTTACATTTGTAAAATAACATCCCTGTCAAATGTGTTCCCTGACAGTGGGGTTGCATGATCCATGTCAATAGTGAAATGAGTTCCCTTTCAAAATCCAAAATAAGTTCCCTGTTAGTATTAACATTAATTCCCTAAACTTCTAAAATGACTCACCTTACAGTGCTTAAATTGCTTCTATGTCAATATTGAAATGAGTTCCCTGTTAGTGTTATATTTATTCATAACGTAATGATTCCCCTGTTATTTATTCAATTAGTTCCCTGAGAGGGCTTGGTTGTGAAGTAAAAATCTGTCCCATGATGAAGTATTTTGTGTTTCTTTATATCTTAAATAAATAAAAAGATCCTTCCTTTAGATAAGCGCGGATGTTTTTGAAGTCGTGACCGCCTTCTGTATCGCTGCATTTCGTCACAGCTTCTGGGAGAGGGGTGGTGATCAGTCATTTCTCGGATGTGTCTGCTTTCCTTCATTCCTCTCTATTTACTCAAACCCCCTCTAAGATTGTTAGGAACTAATGTTTCCAGGGAACATTAGTTCTCTGGAAAGTCTCAAGGGAACATGATGGAGGAGAGAGTGAAAGTAAAACCAGCAGAGTGAAATTCTTTACCAGCTACGTTACCATCACAGTAACAATCTCTAAAAAAAACAGTTCCGATCAGTATCCTTTAATCCGTAAAGTCCTACTGTTTACCCTGAGAGGTTTTAGAACAACATCTGGATATTATATAACTTCCTGCACATCTGGAATATCACTTTAAGTCTAAAATACGTGTTTCACTTTCATTTTCTTGTCCTAAAAATGTAGAATTATTGCCAACATTGAATGCCAACTAAATGAAACTGTTAGGATAAGACTTTTCACTTTCGGATTAGCAGACTTTAGGCTTTTCCATTATTTATAATTTGTATGGAAACTTAAACAGGAAACAATCTTTATCCAACCTTTGCAAAAACTATTCTGGATATATTTAGAGTCACCTTTAAGGTCAAATGTATGCAACTAAATATAAATAGTATGTTAATGTTAAATGTTGTCTGGTTTTCTAATGGTGGAAACTTTTATGATCTAGTTCAACAATGTTCTATTATCTGGAAAGTTTCAGGGATGTTCTTGTAGTGTTTCTTTCTTCCCTGAGGGGGAATCTCAATGATTTAAGGGCCAGCAACGTTAACTCTGGTTCTACCATTGGGCCATTTGATGTATTTGTTTATGAGTAAAGATGAATATCTATCTCTCTAGTGTTTCCTGTGAACTTTACCACAGCTTCCAGCTGCTTTTAGTCCCTCCACTAACCTTTGGTTACACTGAGAGATTTTATTTGGCTTCAATTATTGTTTCACTTTGATTAATAATGCAGTCTGTTCCCACTCAAGACCCTTCCCACAGAAAATGGATGTTCAGGGAATTGGAGTATGTTTGAATTTAAACTGAAAACCAAATGGGCTGTAACAGTGAAAGAGATAAAGGAACAGATTATAGTTTATTTCCTTAACCCATAAGAACCCGGACCCATTTATACTTTTGGGAAAGTTATGGGGAACACCATTTAGACTAAACCAGACCACATAGATCACATTTCTGACAAGTAACCCCCCTTAGTGTCAAATATTTTAAAAGTGACATATACGTCACATTGGGAGTTAATGGTAAAGTAATGCTTATTAATAACTTCATTAATGAGGATGATGCTTTGGTTTACATTTGTTTTAACATTCTCTGAACTGAAAAGTATAGAATATATTAACTAAATATCATTGAATCAGCTAGATTAACTGAGCAGAACATAATCATATTTCTAATTGTGACATATATGTCACTCTAGATATACTGAGAAATGTTAAGGTTAATGTCACAGCGATCTTTATATTATTTGTTTCATATCAATATGTACAAGATTATTTTTCAAAACAGGTTAAATGTAACAAAGGACATGTTATGTAAGCATTGTAATTCTTAAACGGCTTGAATCTTACCTTTAGCCACAAAAAACAAGCTTTTGAAATGTAATCACATGACCTGGATCATGACCCACCAGACTGTTCAGGGTGTGTCACTTAGGCTGTATAAGGAACCTTCCAGAACATGTAAATGTAATCTATCTGTGTCACCGTGGGCTCTTATGGGTTAAGAAGACATTTCCAACCGAGTACGATTGATTTACACACAGTTATTATTGTTAATGCTGTATTGGTCCCAAAGTTGATATAGTAGTTCTTACGGTGGGTTTGTTGCTGGCGTCAATCTGTATGTTGCTGCAGCCGGCGTGGCAGGGGGACCTGAACTCAACGCCGTCAGAACCGCAGACCGGGTTAAAGGCCTCCGCCGGACACCTACAGCCGGCGCTGCACGACAACACAGCACTGCTGCAAACACACACACACACAATATTAATAAACTTAATGTGTTAGGGTGTGTAGATACAAAACGTGAAATTACTTAGTTATCAGTGGGGGAAATGAGTTCCCTGTCAATAGTGTATTTAGTTCTTTGTTAGCAGTGAATTTACCTTACATTTGTTAAATTAGTTACCTGTCAAAAGTAAAATTAGTTTCTTGCCAAACGTGATATTAGTTTCCTTTCAGTGCTGGAATTAGTTCCCTATCAACAGTGAATTAAGTCCGCTATCAATGGGGTAATTAGTTCCCTGTCATAAGTGGAATTGGTTACCGATTGGATGTGGAATTACTTTTCTGACAACAGCAATTAGTTTCAATTCATTAGTGAAAACTATTTCTTGAGAGTGAGACAATTAGATCCCTGTTACTGAGGAATAGTTCCCTTTAGGGCACTGCAATTCCCGTTCAATCAGGAAATTCCCTGTCAGTTATGAAATAAGTTCATTTTCTGTAAATGAATAAGTTCCCCGTTAGCAGTGAAAATAGTTCTGAATTCTGAATTCCCTTTTAGATGTTAAATGAGTCCCCTTTCAGCTTTAGACGTAGGTCCATTTAGTTGGTAAAATAGGCAGCTACCCTTGAGGAAAGACCTCGGCGACCTTCTGAGTTGAGCAGCCAATGAACAGCAGCGGTGTGGAGGACAGGATGCAGAGCAAGATGGCCGCGGTGCAGAGTTTACTGGCTCCGCCCACCGAGAGACTCAACCTCCGCATCAGGACGCCGCCGAGCACGGTCCCCAGCACCGCCAGCGGGATGCAAACTCCTCCTGAAGAAATCCAGAAGACACAAATTCCATATTTCAGTTGACTGTATATAACTTTAATTGTGGCTGTTTTTACAATGCTCCAAATAGTAGTAGTAGTACAAGCAACTCATTTCACCATTGTAAGGGAACACATTTGACTAGAGACAGGGAGCTTATTTCCCCACTGATAGGTAACTCATTTAAGAGGATGGTAATTATAATTTTGTAAGGAAACCAGTTTCACTTCCGACAGGGAACTCATTCCACTATTGACAAGGGGCTAATTTTATCACGGACAGGGAACTAGGTAAGAGGTAAGTTATTTTCTGCGTAAGGAAACCAGTTTCACTTCTGACCGGGAACTAATTACACTACTGTTATGGAACTCATTTAACAGAGAGGTAATTTCACCCCTCAAGGTTCCCGATGTCATACAAACTAAATAACTTTCTCTGAAATGTAATATTTGTGGCTCTTACTGGTGTGATGATTGCAGACAGAGATGGCACAAGTACACACATCCTTTACTCAAGTAGAAGTACAGATACTCGTGTTTAAAAATACTCTGGTAAAAGTAGAAGTACTGACTAAACTTCTTGACTCAAGTAAAAGTAAAGAGGGCTTTGAAATGTACTTCAGTAAAAAGTACCCATAACTAGCAGCTGTTTTAAAGAGTACCTGACCTCCCTTTATATTAATAGAACAATAATGTCATTGTTAGCTAATGAATGTTTCCATGCTGAACAACGGCAACATGACAACGTTTTCATTGGTCCCTCTTCTTTAGAGAAGACCAGGAAATGATGGATACACGGATCGTGTTCAAATCAATAGGCACGCAATGACTCTAAATAATAATGATCACGCCACCAAACACACATTCAAACTAAAGGAACCAGCCTGTTTGGAAAATGTAAGAAGTAGAAAGTACAGGTATTTGTGTTCAACATATAAGAAGTAGAAAGTACAGGTATTTGTGTTCAACATGTAAGAAGTAGAAAGTACAGGTATTTGTGTTCAACATGTAAGAAGTAGAAAGTACAGGTATTTGTGTTCAACATGTAAGAAGTAGAAAGTACAGGTATTTGTGTTCAAAATGTAAGAAGTAGAAAGTACAGGTATTTGTGTTCAACATGTAAGAAGTAGAAAGTACAGGTATTTGGGTTCAACATGTAAGAAGTAGAAAGTACAGGTATTTGTGTTCAAAATGTAAGAAGTAGAAAGTACAGGTATTTGTGTTCAACATGTAAGAAGTAGAAAGTACAGGTATTTGTGTTCAAAATGTAAGAAGTAGAAAGTACAGGTATTTGTGTTCAAAATGTAAGAAGTAGAAAGTACAGGTATTTGTGTTCAAAATGTAAGAAGTAGAAAGTACAGGTATGTGTGTTCAACATGTAAGAAGTCAAAGTAAAAAGTCGTCAGAAAAATAAGTAGTGGAGTAAAGTACTGATACCAGAAAAATGTAATTCAGTCCAGTAACAAAGTATTTGTACTCCACTACTTCCAACCTCTGCCTGCAGACCTGTTTGCTCTCTCACCTATCATCATGATGGAGAAGGAGACGGTCTGGGTGAACTGTCTCTCGATGAATTTGGACATGAAGGTGGCGAGGCCGGCCAGCAGCGCCGCCAGGTTCACCTGAGCCAGAACCACCAGCAGGTAGATGGGGCTGCGCAGCGTCCGCAGGGCGATACGAGGGAAACCTGAGGAACAGAGGGAGGGAGGGAGGGAGGAAGATGGTGATGATGATGATGATGATGATGATGATGATGATGATGATGATAGAGAGGATTAGCCATAAAAGTCAAAGCCAACTTTATTGTCAATCTTTCAGTTTGTGTGTACAGACAGAGAGATCGAAATACCGTTTCCCACAATCCAGAGGAATACAAAATACAAATATATATAAAATATGTATACAAATATGGATATACATATATATACACAATCAACAGACACATGTGTACATATGCACACATAAAAGGCCAATACTAGCAGGCATATTAACCCGTTTTCTATTCCCAGTAGTTTCAAGTGTCAAGTCTTTATCATCATGTGCTCAGCAGCTACAGTGTAGATATGGCAATGAAAAACTGAAGTCCTCCTCCAACAGAGCAACATGAATATATATATGACACAGAACAAATAAAACAGATAAAATAGTGCAAGAGAATGTTTTGAGATGTGCAAGTAAATACAAATAAAATAGAATAGAAGTAGTAGTGCACAAGGTTTAAAATCCCCATTGTTGCTTCAGTGCTGATGGTCCAGCATCACAGTGACCTCTGCTCGATGCCCTGTAGTTGCCTCCGCTGCAGACAGGAAGCAGAAGGGAAATAAGAGTCTTACTTTTGAGGAACTGGAGGAAAGATGTTTCCGAGTCAGTCTGCTGAAGCTGCTGCTTGCAGTCCGGCGTCGACTCCACGTCCTCGTCCTCGTCCTGCACAAATATGGAAGCAGAACGTCTTGTTATTTCCCGGCAGGTTTAAAAACCCCTGAGTCTGCAGCTTAAGGTTTACATTAACAGCTCTAAATGACACTTCAGATAAATGTGCATGCTGCAGAATGTGGTCTGTGTTATGAACTCTGCATACCCAGAAATACATCATAGTTTCTTTGGTAAAAGCAGGTTACTCATGAAACAGGCATTTATTTAGTAAATGGGTTGCTTAAAAGCTTTTCTGGTAAATACTATAAAATATTAATTTTCAGAATGCTATTAATACTGCCACTGTAGAGGACTGAATATTAAAAAAACTGCATACTATATGTTATGTGGTTTACTAAATTGTTTACAGTGGAGGATCTGTCAATACATAGCAAACACATTTATTTTAATGCATAAAAAAAACACTTGTTAGCTTGGAGAAAAAGATGTCCCTTTCCTAAAAATATTATAAATTAATATTTTTGTCAAACTTCAATTCTGAATAGCAACCCTAGTTTAAATTCAACTTTTAATGCGACTTGTGTTTTATATAAAGACAAAAATGTACACTTTATATCGCAAATTAAATGATAAGGGGATTTTTCTAAATGTTCACAGTCAGGGATATTTCAATAATTTCCGAAAAAAAGAAATGTAATTCAGATTCAAAATAAGGAATACACTTCCTAAAATTATTATATATTGATATTTGTTTCCACTAATGTTGTGTGTTATTAACACCGCAAATAAAACAATCACTAAAAGCATCTTAGTCATGAAACAAGTACTTAATTAGTTGTTGGGTTGCCTAAAAGCTTTTCTGATAAACATTCACACGCTCAGAACTTAAATTTGAGTCGGACCTCAGTCGGTCGGCGTTCCTGACATGGTGGTCCAAACGAGAATGTGTGTTTAGGCTTCTCTTCTGTTTATGGCTGGATTTTTAACCTCTGATAAAACACAGAGCCACGAGCCGAGCCTCTCAGTCGATCAGATGATTTACGATCAAACAAAGGTTAGGGTTAATCTGTCAGGTAGGATCATCGAGCCCCAAAAACCAGACATTACATTACATTACATGTCATTTGTTAGACGCTTTTATCCAAAGCGACTTACATACATTCAGTACTGTGGACAATCTCCACAGGAGCAATTTGAGGTGAAGTGTCTTGCCCAGGGACACAACGACATGAGAGACAGACAGAGAGACACTCTGGAAAAAAGAGAGGAATGCCACAAAGTGATTTTGCAAAAGATTTTGGAAAATGTAAATTGGAAACTTGAATGAAAAATCTTGAAATATCTTTGAAATGTATTTTAGTGTTATCTGAGTACTTGAAGTTGTACAGATAACATATTTAGTGACTCCATTATGAAAAATGTTCTCCTCATTCTGACCCAAATAATAGATTTATGGAAGTTATCTGATGTTTTTTGGTGCTTTTAGTAAGAAGTGTTCAGCACTGCAGATGATTCTGTTTGAGTTTGTGGAGCAGTGTTGGCCACGACACAAAGAAAACATTAAACTGCAAACGTTTCTCAAAATTAAGGCGTGATGCCAGCAGGTTGCTCAACATTTTATTATATCTGATACGACTCCCTGCGTTCAAACAGAAAGCTGCCAAAGTCCAGAGCTTTATCTAACAGCGGAGTGAGGCCAAGCTTTCGATTTTAGATTTAGCTCCTATAACATGTCTTATTTTCAGACCAGTGGAATGAAAACCTCAAAATCCACATGCAGGAGTTTATTTGACTATCTTTGTCTGTTTGTGTCTGCAGATTTCTCCTAAAGTCACCAAAAGTGAGCATTAAATAACGCCTCATATGCATATTTAAACATATGTCAGAAAACGTATAATATAAAAAATAATGCTGTTAACCTGTTTAGCCCTGAGCCTGTTTTTCAGGTCTCAGACTCGAAAATGACATTCCCAGAACAAATGACCATATCTTCCCTTCTAAAAGGGTTAAATTAATAATCTTTGTTCTCAAAGTAATGATAAACCTGTGAGTTGGATGTAGAAAAGTCAGAATCAATATAGATGTTTTTTATTTTAAAGAAAATTCAGATTGAACATAGTAAAAAACTGTAAATTATAGTGTCCGTCCAAAAATTATTTTTTACTTATAGTGAAAACTACCCTTGGATGATGGTAAGGTAGACTAAAAGCTTTAAGAATCCAAAGTACAACATATAATAAGTACCCTGTATCAAGATTGATGCAAAACAAGTGACATTTGACCTTTTTAGAGAGGTTTAGCAAAAGAAACTCCACCTCTGAGGTGATTTGGGTGGAAATGGGGGTTTTACCGTTTCTCTGGAACCCATTGGTCGATTTTGGTGATTGACATCTCTTTCTGACCGTTAGAGCCAATAGAATCGAAGGGGAATCTCCCCACTCACACACATGGTACAAAAAAAAGGTGGGGGCTTCGCGCATGCAGTTTTGCATCAGAGCGAACCTATACTCTAGCTCTGACATCTGGAAACGGAAAAGCAGGTTTATTGCTCATGGATTATCAGAAATAATTTCAAAGGGACACAGACCCATTGGATTAACCTAAGGATTAACTTCAGCAGCGTTTTTATCGTTTTAATGCCATTGAAGACCACTTTTGACTAGACTACGACACAGGTAAGCCATGTTAGCGTTTTTAGCTACCTAGCGCCACATGTTTTGATGTCTGTTTTTGTTTATAAAGTCGCGAGTTCGTATCATTGAGTGATAATGTATGTACCCATCTATTCTGTGTCATCTCACAATGTGAAACGATGTGTTGGATTTGCAGAAAAGATAAATAATAAGGTTTTGTGAGTGAATTTTGGTGCAGTAATCTGTTAGCATTTTTCGCTCGTTGCTAATTCAGAGGCTCAGTGTTAGCATTGTGGGTTTTTAAATTTTTTTTTTTTTTAAATGATCAGTTAGATGAGTTTCTTCCCGTTTCATGGATATAAAACATTCATAGTTTATTAAATGAACATGCCCTCAGACACTGTTTCCTGCAAGACGTTGCGGGAGTGCCCCGGTACCGGGGTCTCTCGGGCTTAACAGGTTAATGTCAGTAATAAAGTGGTAAAGTTTCATGGTGATATCTGTTAGTTACATTTTGTACCATATCCACCTGTAGTGATTGTTTTGTAAAATGAAATGAAGTTAATCTCATTCTGCCCTCTGGGACAAAAGCAGACGAATAGATATGTGAAAAAACATTTTAAGAATTCTCAGGTTGTTATCTGATCAGACCTCTGTCTGTAGAGCGGAGTGCGACAGGTGTGTTATCTGATAGATCTGAGAAAGTTTGTATAACATGCAGCAGCCTGCAGGCAATCCAAGAATCACCTGTAGTAACCTTTGCAAAGGAGGTCATGTTTGGAAGATTTTGGAGAAAATACATTATGTTTTTCCTGTAAATTGTGAAATTCAGGTCACATCTAGGGGCTGAAACTCATGATTACTTTTTGGATTGTTAATAATACCAGTCTGGTGGTTGCAGTACAGAACCCTGAGATGTATTTACATTAATATGATTTCAATAAATAAAAAAACGTTTCTCTGTATCTGCCTAAAGGAAAGAGCCACAGTCTTACTGCATTGTTGATAATCAGACAACGTTAGGTTCCTGGGAGTAGGAATACTTGTTTGCATATTAATTTAACCTGTTAAGCCCTGAGCCTGTTTTTCAGGTCTCAGGCTCGAAAATGACATTCCCAGAACAAATGACCATATCTTCCCTTCTAAAAGGGTTAAATTAATAATCTTTTTTCTCAAAGTAATGATAAACCTGTGATTTGGATGTAGAAAAGTCAGAATCAATATAGATGTTTTTTATTTTAAAGAAAATTCAGATTTTACATAGTAAAAAACTGTAAATTATAGTGTCCGTCCAAAAATGATTTTTTACTTAAAGTGAAAACTACCCTTGGATGATGGGTTAGTAGACTAAAAGCTTTAGGAATCCAAAGTACAACATATAATAAGTACCCTGTATCAAGATTGATGCAAAACAAGTGACATTTGACCTTTTTAGAGAGATTTAGCAAAAATAAACCACTTCTGGCGTCATTTGGGTGGATTTTCCATATCTCTGGCCCCCCTTGCTCAATTTTGATGGTTGACATCTCTTTCTGACCGTTAGAGCCAATAGAATCTAAGGGGGAGTCCCCCACACACACTCATTGTGAAAAGAAAAGGTGGGGGCTTCGCGCATGCAGTTTTGCATCAGAGCGAACCTATCTCTAGCTCTGACATCTGGAAACGGAAAAGCAGTTTTATTGCTTATGGATTATCAGAAATCATTTCAAAGGGACACAGACACATTGGATTAACTTCAGCAGCGTTTTTATCGTTTTAATGCCATTGAAGACCACTTTGGAAAGACTACAGAGCCAAGGTAAAAATGTTAGCATTTTTAGCTACCTAGCGTCACCTGTTTTGGTGTCCATTTTTGCTTATAACGTCGTGAATTCGTATAATTCAGTGATAATGAGGGTACCCATAGATTCTGTGTCACCTCACGATGTGAATCAATGTCATGGATGTGGAGAAGAGATAAATAATAAGGTTTTGTGAGTGATTTTCGGTGTACTAAATCTGTTAGCATTTTTCGCTCGTTGCTAATTCAGAGGCTCAGTGTTAGCATTGTGGGTTTTCTTTTGAAAAACAAATACAAATGATCAGTTAGATGAGTTTCTTCCCGTTACATGGATATGAAACATTCATAGTTTGTTAAATGAACATGCCCTCAGACACTGTTTCCTGCAAGATGTTGCGGCAGTGCCCCGGTACCGGGGTCTCTCGGGCTTAACAGGTTAAAGGGGCCCTATTCTGCAACATGCAAGCATACAACTTCATCATCATCACAAAACATTATGCAGCTTGGAGCATCATATGTTGGACGGACAAAGCTTAAATATATTTGGCTAGTTTCAGTACCAACACATTCATTACTGTGTCCGATCCTGGGTCTAAAGAGAGATACTGCATGTGGGGGGACAACTTTAAATCAGGCTTTTGTGTTTAAAAATGAAAGTGTCGCTGCTGTCGGCTGTTTTCTGTCACGTTATTTTAGATGGGAACAATGTTGAGCAATACTTCACCTCATGAGTTTGATAGAACATGAGCTGAGTGAACCCTTTAATTTTGTTTTGGGGACGGAGCCAGAAACATTCCTGTAACAGCTTGTTAAGATGAGCCCTTTTTATATTTTGCATCCTGTTTATCGTGATTGTCTTTGATTAAACGTTATTATTCTGACACTTATTCTTTGTTTTTATCAAACAAACTTAAATAACCTTTTGTTGTCTATCTGAGTTGGGAAAATAGTGAATGTCCTCTTCCAATATGAGAGTATCATGATAACAAAGGTATCCCAACTGTAGCTGTGTACATGACAGGATGTATGATTACCTAGAAGAGCATCAGGACTGTTTTAGGCATATGATAGCTATGTGATTAACATGATGATTCAGCCTCTATGGAGATAGACATATGACAAGCATGATCATTTCTGACGTGGAGCTAATCTGAACTAAACATTGAATTCTGCTTTATATTCCTCCATCTTGTGATTGTGTAACTCCCTCTCTTGGATATCAGCATGTGAAGGACACTGTTCAGGAACTAGTTGATGCTCTGTATGTGATGACTACTTCCATTCTGGAGAGGATCACAAATACATGGATCCTGAGATTGAAGCTCAAGCCGGTGAACAGTGAGATTTTTCTAACAATTTCCCTGTCTCACCTCTTTGGGGATGCTTCGGGGAAAGAAGAGGTACGGCAGCGCGGCGAGGAAGAGGAGGCCGGACGCCACGAGGAAGCCGAGCCACCAGGCGCCGACCCAGCGAAGATCCTTATGGTGCAACTGGATCTGGTCTGCATAACAAAAACAAAAAGACACAGTTGTGAAACACAAACTGACATGACAACACACCCTGGAGGAGATTCCCTTTTCACATTCATTACTCTTACTTATGTTTCACATTTCATGCATAAAATCAACTTGTGATGTTTCTTACAATTTAATAACAACAAATATTAGCCCTATGTGCCCAAAGACTACATTTATTACCAGATCTCACCAGCTTAACATTTTGAATGATTTTGAAAAGGTGTTGTGCAAGAAGGAAATATAAAAGTGAAGTTGCAGATGACTCAGTGTTGTTGGACCTGTTGAGGAGTGGCTGGGAGCACTTTGTACTATTACAACTTCATTTGTTGTAGTTTGATGCTCAATGTCAATAAAATAAATATAACTCTGGACATCTGTAAGCGGTTGAGCAATCACAACAGAGCCAGCCAGCTAACCAATCAAAGCGGACTGGGCTCTGGTTTCAGACAGAGGGTGAAAAGAGGTGCTGCAACACAGGCAGTATGAAAAAAATAAAGAGCTTTTTGAACTTTAAAGCAAGGAGAAATGTCACAGTAGAGACACTACATACTGATATACAACTGAACATCAGCAGGAGAGGACTCTTTAAAGTAGAGACACTAAATACTGATATACACCTGAACATCAGCAGGAGAGGACTCTTTAAAGTAGAGACACTACATACTGATATACACCTGAACATCAGCAGGAGAGGACTCTTTAAAGTAGAGACACTACATACTGATATACACCTGAACATCAGCAGGAGAGGACTCTTTAAAGTAGAGACACTAGTACATACTGATATACACCTGAACATCAGCAGGAGAGGACTCTTTAAAGTAGAGACACTAAATACTGATATACACCTGAACATCAGCAGGAGAGGACTCTTTAAAGTAGAGACACTACATACTGATATACACCTGAACATCAGCAGGAGAGGACTCTTTAAAGTAGAGACACTACATACTGATATACACCTGAACATCAGCAGGAGAGGACTCTTTAAACTTGAAGGTCTATTGTGAAACTGCTTTTGGCCTTAGTATAAATAAAGTACAACAGACTTTGAACTGTTCATTTGAACACTTCAAAATAAATTGATGTTTGTTTTTAATAACTTGTCAAATATATTTGCCACAGTGTGAAGTATTTTTCAGTTCTTGCCAAGTTAGACTTCTGCAGAAAAGTTCAACATGAGTCAATAAAATGACGTCACGTCACGTCAACAATACAGAACCAAGGCCAGCTGCCATACAAATAATCTCAAAACTCTTTATGGACACACAGGCATGATCACACACAAATGTTTATACTTGTATACTTGTGAGGACCGTTACAAAACATGCATTACAAGGACATTTACTCTAATCTTTAAAAATCTTTGTTAAAAGTTAAAATAACACTGACGCAGCGTCCACACGGCGGCGTGCGCTGAAGCTTGCCGGTGAGCTTGTCTGAAACTTGACCAACAACCAATCACATGAATCTCCCGCCCCGGACACACAACCACGTGGTTTGATTGGCTAGAGCTTGTACTGGCATATGATTTGATTGGCTGACCGTTCCGCCGAAGCTTCAAAAGTTGAACATTGCTCAACTTTTGAAGCGAGCAATGCGAGCAAAGCGAAGCAACGCTCCCACAATGCAGTTCGGCAAAGCGTGACGTCACCCCATTTAAAGTGAATGGGCAGAAGCGTTGAAGCTTCAACGCACGCCGCCGTGTGGACGGGCCGTGAGGTAAGTTAATAAGGTCAATATTATATAATATATTATCTAAAAGCCATTTGCAGGAATAAAGACGAGGCATGTCCTCACTTTACAGGTCAAGATCCAGGTCCTCACAAAGCTATATACACAAGCACCCACGTACACAGTCAACAAAGAGTTTCCAATGTGAAAACATTTCCTGCACATACAATCAAGGCCCGCTAAAAATACACATTACACATGCATGCATACACGCACACAGGCCCAAGACACACTGACTGGATATTTGTGCACACATGATTAGGAACTAGGTTTTTGTTTGAACAACGCACAAAAGAAACTGTAGCTCAGATAACCAGAGAGGCGTGAAACCTCCGGAGCTTCAACTTCAACAAACTGTCACGTCCTGAAACTCATCCCGAAATACGAGCAAATGTGAAAGCAGGCCCATAGACGCTGTGAAATGCTGACTCTCTGAAACTCAAGTGGGGGGTTTGTTCAGTCTCTTTAGAAAGCTGAACACAAAAACATCGGAGGGGTTTTGGGAAGTTCTTCTTTATCCACTGCAAGTGTCTACGGACATATGGTGTCTCAACAGATTGAAGAAACCCTGATGCAAATGTGTAATTTGTGATATAAGGCTCCCCATTAATTAGCTTGTTTTCATTCAACTACGGACTTCGTTAATCCAAAAATTGCCTGATGAGGTTTTAAATGATCCTCCTCTTTTATGATAACAACAAGTTGTGTTCATAATTCTGACTTACAGAAAGATATGCAGGGGTGTTTTCACAGCTACTGGACGTCACATTAAATCAGCATTCATGTGTTATTTTAGCTTAAACTCTATCAGATATGTGTCTTCTTTAACTTCGGTATAAGTGATTTCCACATGCAGGAAGTCCTCCCCTCCGTTTAAAAAAGCAGGAGTAATGAATGAGCTGCGTCACCTCACCTTTGGACAACTTGTCAAAGTCGACATAAAAGCGCAGCATCAAGGAGCCGCTGATGAAGCCGACCGCCGGGCCGATGGAGGTCACAGCGAGCAGGATGCCTGAAAAACAGCCAAAACAAAGTACAGGATGTTCAGTTTTTCTGATTCAAATCAAACTCTACCATATATGTTACATTTTGGGAAAAACCACTCATATTCTGCATCTGATAATTGTGCAGAACTACACATTGTACACATACACATTTCTATCTCAGTTAATAACATTAAACCGTTTTTTAACATTCCCATAACAATAATGTTATTAATTCAAACAAAACAAAACAAAAATGCAGCAAAAATACTTGGTTATGTTTTGTAAACCTTTTGACTTTGATTTGTTATTCGCTAATTGACCACAAAGTAATGTCAAAGAGTAAAAAAAGATACAAAAGTTCGAATGATGCAAAGAAATAAAAAAAAATATACAAAACGCCAAATACTAATAATCGCAGAAGCCCAGAAAGAGACTAAGATATAATGAAAAACTATGCAAAACGGAAAAAAACTGACTGAAAAACGATGCAAAACTGGCATAATGAAACACTTCCTGAAAAAACCTGACCTAAAACAAGCACAAAGAGAACTAAAGTTAATGCAAAGAGCTGCTAAATTATTAGAAAATAGATGCAAAAAGACGACAAAGGGGAACAGAATAAGTTTACCTATTTCATTTTCGTGTATAGTTCCTATTAACAGAGTCAGGGGCCCATTGTCTCCTGGTTTCATTACTCCGGCCTCACATTGGTTCCAGGAAACAATAAAAACTGGTTTGTTGAGGCGGAGGCTTCAGATGCCACAGGCTGGTGTTACTCTGCAGGGAGCTAACAGCTAACAGCTAACAGCTAACAGCAGCCTGTGAACAGAAACCTGCAGGAGCTCAGTTCTGTTGGTCCAATGGCAGGCTCATTGAGGAAGGCTTACCCTCAGTCAGCCTTTCATCTCTTAATAACATCGCATGCAAACAATAAATAAGGCTCCAAGTGGTGATTATGAGCAGGAAGCTGTAAGATAAGAGCGGGCGGTAACACAAGCTGAGGGAGTGTGTGTGACACAAACATGACCTACATTCCCTTTAATGCTGCTTTAATAGGAAAAGTTGAAAGTTTGAATATGTTTTTAATGAAAACTTAATGCGCAGACCTCCACTGAGGCTGTTGCCATAATTAAAACATAATGAGTGTTTACATACATTTTCCGATTATTTTAACAAACAAAAATAATGCATGCAGCCGCACCGTGATTTGGATCAACTCCAAAGTAATCTGTGTTCTTCCCTGTCCCGAGCTACACCCTTCCACAACATCTCCTGATCATAGGGCCATGAGTTTTTCTGTAACCACGAAACACACAGCCAAACCAAACATAAGTCCTAATACTACTCTAGTCCTGAATTCAAAAATATAACTCAAGTAAAAGTATTAAAGTATATTACAGTACCTAAAGTATCAAATACAAATAAATCAGTACGCAGAACAAAGGGTTTTAGAGTTATAGAATATTATATAATGCTAAATTAGTAATGATGTAAAGGTAATTGAAGTAACTGAACAACCACAAATGGACGTAGAATGACCAAAGATAGCTGCAAAATGGACCATAAACGGATGAGAAATATGTGCAAAAACATTTAAAACGACTATGAAGAAACGCAAAGCAGCCAAAAAAAGAAGCCAAGCTGATTAAAAGCCCAAACAAGATAGAAGGACGACAAAGAGACGCAATCATCCAAAGGAAGTCAGAATAGGACAACAATAAGATGCAAGATGACTACAACAAACACATCTAGAAACGTAAAAGCATGGATTATCCGTCTGTTTGCTCATGGATTATCAGAAATCATTTCAAAGGGACACAGACACATTGGATTAACTTCAGCAGCGTTTTTATCGTTTTAATGCCATTGAAGACCACTTTGGAGAGACTACAGAGCCAAGGTAAAAATGTTAGCATTTTTAGCTACCTAGCGTCACCTGTTTTGATGACTGTTTTTGTTTATAACGTCGCAAATTCGTATAATTCAGTGATAATGAGGGTGTCCATCGATTCTGTGTCACCTCACGATGTGAATCGATGTCATGGATGTGGAGAAGAGATAAATAATAAGGTTTTGTGAGTGATTTTCGGTGCAGTAATCTGTTAGCATTTTTCGCTCGTTGCTAATTCAGAGGCTCAGTGTTAGCGTTGTGGGTTTTCTTTTGAATTTCTTTTTTAAATGATCAGTTAGATGAGTTTCTTCCCGTTACATGGATATAAAACATTCATAGTTTATTAAATGAACATGCCCTCAGACACTGTTTCCTGCACGATGTTGCTGCAGTTCCCCGGTACCGGGGTCTCTCGGGCTTAACAGGTTAAAGAAAGTCAGAATACGACAACAAGAAGATGCAAGACCAGGTATGATATCAGTAAGAAGGAAAACAAACAAATCAACACAAAAACCAATAAAAAAAACTAAACCCCCCCCCCCCCCAAAAACTAACAAAAAGACCGAAAATTGACAAAAAGTCGTAAAAGAACAACAAACTATCCACGACCCAAAACAACCAAATCAATACAAAAAACATTAAAAAAAAGAACCCCACTAAACGATGAAAGAGGGGCCAAACAACCCATGAGATTATTACGAGGATGGTCATTTAAAACATGTGATATTTAGGACAGTATTGAAGTGGTGCTTCCTGGACGTACCGAGGTACAGCGGGGAGTTCTTCCTGCTGGCGTGGTCGTCGATGTACGAGATGCCGAAGGGCTGGATGGGCACGGCTCCGATGCCCAGCAGCAGCTGCCCCATCAGGAGAAGAGGGTAGACCCCCTGCTGGTCCCCGCCCTGCTGCCCGCTGCAGCTCTGATTGGACGAGGAGGTGGAGACGGGGCTCTCTGATTGGCAGAGGCTGGAGCTGTTAACACCGGAAGCTGTGGGGAAAAGAGGGGAACATATTTAACTAATATATATCACCGTGAAACTTTCCCTCTTCATTACTGACATTAAGACAATACTTTTTCATATTAGAAATTTTCTGAAATGTGATGTTTAAATAAACAAATGAGGTCTTATTTTATGACATATCTGCTCATTTGCATATTATTCGTCACAGGGATGTGAACATTGGATAAAGCAAGGTCCATCTTTTGTACTTCATTTAATTTACATCATAGAGTTGAATGGGATCTCTTTGCACACAGGCAGCTTTATGTACTTATTGTTTAAAACTTCATTCAATCTGAATGTATGCCCAGAAAGGGCAAGAAGTGGCAACCGACATATTTTGGGAAATTTCCTAAATAAAATCTGATTTTACATTCTTCAAATAGATGATAAAAGTTTGCATATATATATACAGTATATACACATGTGCAATAAGTAGTTACTACAAAAAAGTAGTTGCAAGTTAATCCTGCACACATGTACTACTACTTTGAACACTAAAAGTACTTATTATGAAAAATGTGCCTTTACATCTTTATGAATTTATATTATTTTATACACCACATTAAACTTAGTAATTCATTACATTCATCGAGTAAAGGTTAAGCTAACTTGTGAAAGTTATTATAATGCCAGTTATCTTTATTCATAAGGAGCAGGAAAAGGAAATGTAAAGCTAGAGTAAATGTACGATTTTGTTTGTTTTTAGTTACAGATTATCATATATTTATCTAAGAAAAATAAATAAGAATAGATTTGACCAGACAATGAAGCTATATGAGTGTGTGTGTGTGTGTGTGTGTGTGTGTGTGTTTGTGTGTGTGTGTGTTCTCACAGTTAATGCTGTCTGTGTACTCGTACATCCCTCCCAGGAAGTGCGGCAGCGACATGATCAGCGAGGCGAGACACGCCAGCAGAGCGCCGCCGCCGATGCACCGCGGCCGGTGGACCCGACTCCCCAAGAAACTCACGAACACGATGAGGATCGTGTTCCCCACCTGCACACACACACACACACACACACACACACACACACACACACACACACACACACACACACCCACACACACACACACACACACACACACACACACACACACACACACACACACACACACATACACACACACACACACACACACACATACACACACGCACACACACACACAAATACACATAAACACACACACACACAGATATGCTGGTTTTTGTTTACATTGGGGACCACATTTCGGATCATCCCATGCAGGGACTTTTCTTGAGAACATTACGGGGGAAAACTACTTTTTTGTAAACCTTGTAACCTCCCTATGTGGACATATCTTAGATCTCTCGTTAATCTTCTATTAGATATCTGGGCACATTTTTAGCAGAATAACAATTACTATCAAACAATCCCTACATTAGCGTTGCACAAAACAAAACATGAATCTCCTTTTTAACCTCATTTAACACATACCATGAAAATTACCCCAAGATCTCACAGGTATTTTGTCAGGAAAGTCGACAACATTTGACAAACTATTCCTGGAAAATACTGTGTCTTCGTTTCCCAGTGTCCAACCCTTAAAGCAGATAGCAAATGTGGAAACCTCCTTGCTGTCCTGAGTTGTTTTAAATGTGTTTTCTAAAAGAAAGACAGAAATGAAAGTGTGTTGAATAGGTTTTTAAGACCTCTCTGTGCTTGCCTTTGGCCCGACAGTTGATCAGGAATGTCATTTCTTTCTTGACAATACATTATAATTACTCAGTACGATTATCTGGAAAGACCAGCAGCTGTGTTGTAAACAAATAGAAACTGCAGAACTCCCATACAGGTTTTATGAGACAAAGAGAGACATTTAGTGGTTATTTTATGTCTCTTTGTGGTCATTTTAAATTAGTTTGCAGTCAGTTTGAGTCTCTTGGTATTTGTTTATTAGCCAATACCTAAATAATCATAAATGAGCTTTTTGCATCTTGTTGTAGTTGTTGTGGCTTATTGTTTATATCATTGTACTTTATAAATGATGTCTTTATTGAACAAGGACCATGCATAAAATACATTCATCTCAAGAAGAGATGAGGTGATATATTCCAGATTTGAGCTAGTAGCTAATTTCCATCCTCTTTCTAGTCACTTCAGTCTCTTTGTCGTTTGGCATCTCCTTTCAGATGTTTTGTGTCTCTTTGTGGTTTCTCTCTGTCTTTGTCATGGTTTAAGTCTCTGTGGTTATTTTAGTCTCTTCCTGTTTGGTTGATCTTATAGCGACATGTTTGCATTGAAGGCCAATGGGGCCCACTGTCATGTTGGGGCCCCTGTTTATCCGTCCTACTGACCTCATTGAAAGAAGCCAGGAGTCCTGACTTCTGGCTGTTGAAGCCGTAGCGTCTCTCGATGGTGGAGATGGAGCTCTTCATGTAGCCCGACACCAACAACTGAGCCAACTGCAGCAAACTGTGGCAAAACACGAAGAACTGAAGAGAAGAAGAAGAAGAAGAATATAAAGGAAAACACTGGCTCTCTGCAGATGTCAAACTCCTGATTTAAAATGAGTCCAGGTTCTGAGTGATTTACGACACGAAGAGTTCATCAGAGTTTCGTGACATGACATGTCGAGAGGAAATGTTTACATGTGAACAATACCAGGATGAACTTCAGGAAGGGAAGTTTCGCCTCAGACAAGAAGGAAATCGGTGCCGAAAACAACAAAACCTTGAACACCTACTCCTGCAGATTGAAATGCTTTTAATTTACACGTAGACAAAGATACTAACTCATATGTCTCCAAGAAAAGCATCTGTGTCCGCGGGGTCTTAATTATTGGGCAGCCTGATATCATGAAATGGCATATCAATAATACAAATATTTCTTAGGTTATTGTGCGCATTTTAAAAGTCAGGTTACATAAAAACATGGATAGGTCCAAAAACCACCTCCTGATTGATTTGTTTTCCAAAAATGTCTGTTTTATTAGTTTTATTGGTATTGTTTTGTATTTTGTTTATGATATCTTTGTTCTGTTTGACATTTGGCCTCTATGTCAAATTCAGAGAAAGAATTGTTGAAATAGTTGCAACCAAATGATAGAAATTGCATTAATTTAATGTAAAATCAAGGGTTTTCTTGTCTTATTTCTTAAAACCTTCTATGTTTTACCTACTTCATGGAGGATTTCTTTATGTTACTTTTCAAAATATGTTCCGAATGGACTGAAAGCAATATTCAACATTTAAACCCAACAATATGTGCATTTTTTTGTCATCAAATGTCGATGTAAAGCAGACAAACCTTGACGCTGTAGAAGAGACTCCGGCGTCGGGCGGGGGGGCGAAACTCCGCGGGGTCAGGGTTCATTTTGAGGTCGTTGGCTCCCATGATTTAATTTATATCACACAGACTGAAGCAAAAACCTGTAAAATACAACCACAGTTCGACAGAGGTAAAGTTTCAAAGTCCAGTGTCTGATAACACACTTTTATGACCTTAAGGACGTTCATTTAAACACAAATGCAAAAGAACACACCGCTGCAGCATAAATAATGTGCATGTGCTGCATGTCTGCACAAAGAGAGATTGATAGGCAGATAGTCAAATGGAAGCTGCAGACTGAGGTTTGGATAAAAGCCAAATAAATCACTGCATGTAGAAAGAGCGGGAAACGTTTAATGAGGGTTTGAAAAAAGAAACAACCACGATTGGATACAGGTCAAACAAGTGATGGATGGACCTTCAGGGTTTTTCAGACTAGGGGTTACAATTTGGCGATCTCTGAAGGTTTGTTTTACAAATTGGCTGCTGGATAAAGAGTAAAGTCGCTATGTAGGGAGTTGTTTTTTTGTCATTCAACCAATTGAATACTTTTGCGTCCCATTGGTTTAAAGAGTCTTCTGATGGAGCGCCTTGATATCCCATTGGTTGCAAACCAAAGTCGAAAATAACTGTCCAATTTACAGAAAACTGAATGGTTAGACCACGGAAAGCGCATTATATTTTGGCGCAGATCTGAATTAAGGGGTTAATAATTTGTTTAAAAGTGCATCTATAATTCTTGTTTACATTGCAAGTTAGGGAACTTTTGCTGCATTTATTTGTGTCTAAATAATTTGATAAAAAGAATTAGTAGCTGACTGGGAAAATCAGACAAAGATAGCACCATCTTGTTTTTTAAACCTGCACAGATTGTAGAGAAGTCTATGAGAAAATGTTCCTACTTCTCTCTCTCTTTATTACCTCAGATTGTAGAGAAGTCTATGAGGAAATGTTCCTACTTCTCTCTCTCTTTATTACCTCAGATTGTAGAGAAGTCTATGAGAAAATGTTCCTACTTCTCTCTCTCTTTATTACCTCAGATTGTAGAGAAGTCTATGAGAAAATGTTCCTACTTCTCTCTCTCTTTATTACCTCAGATTGTAGAGAAGTCTATGAGAAAATGTTCCTACTTCTCTCTCTCTTTATTACCTCAGATTGTAGAGAAGTCTATGAGAAAATGTTCCTACTTCTCTCTCTCTTTATTACCTCAGATTGTATAGAAGTCTATTAGAAAATGTTCCTATTTTTAGAATCTGTTTTCTGATTGGCTGCGGCTACTCTCTTGCTGAGAGTTATATTTCGGTTTGGGCCTGAACATTTTATGACAGAAATAACAGCGACACGGAAAGGGAAAGAAAATCAGAAAAGACGGAAATCAATCTCAGACGATCAGGAAGACACAGATCTCTAATCAGCAGAGGAATGTCAACAGAAGGAAAAACACGCAATCTGGGTGTTAGTTTTTATCTCGTAACGGCCAAATAAAAACAAAACAATCTCAGACTCCAAGAAATGCTCTTTGTTTTTCCTACGCCAGTAGAATGGGACTGCATAACAGGTGGATATGGTCCGGCAGTGGCTCAGTCAGTAGGGGCTTGGACTGTGAGCCGTAGGGTTGCCGGTTCAAGTCCCCGACCAGACCTAAATATGGAGTGGATACTGCTACTTGGAGAGGTCCCAGATCACCGCCTGGGCCCTGCCGTGGTGCCCTTGAGCAAGGCACAGGACATCCCCCCCCTTCCCCCCCACTCCCATTGCTCCCCGGGCGCTGTACAATAGCTGCCCACTGCTCCTAGTACGATGGGTTAAATGCAGAGGCCACATTTCACTGTGTGCTGTGTGCTCAGCATATGTGACCATTAAAGAGGGTTTCATCCCTCCCCTATATTCTCTGAGATTTAAAGTGTGAATTTACAAGAGAAAAACCTTAAATATTCGATAAGAATAAGGTAGTAAATACAAAAGAAAAAACGCAAACGAAAAAAAAGTAAAGGAAAACACTTCTCTAAAATGTAAGTGGTACAAAAACGCAAATATTCCCTAAGATTGAAATAGTAAATATGTGAGAATTTATTTTGATTAAAGTATTACATTTACAAAGATATTACATTTAACTCCACGTGGTTCACAATGAATCACTGAGGTGAGGTGGAGACGTTTTAATGAGTTTGCAAAGACATTGAAGATGCAAGAAAAAAAGCTGAAGTGTGATGAGTTGTGATTTTCACACCTAAAAATAAGACATCAAAAAGTCCCCTTCAAACTTTATAAAGTACTTTCTACTGCAGAATCCGAGGTAAAATGAGTATTCAGATATAGTTAGTGATACAGAAATACTCTGTAAAGTCAAACGAATGCATTCAAAAGCAGGAAAAAAACAAATAATAATAATACACAAATACATATGAATAATAAATAGTATAAAGGAAAGATAACTAATATAATAATTACAAATAAATGCATTAATATGTTGCGTCAAGTAAAATAATGACTATTTTTCTAACTATATACTGCTGTTTTTTTGTGAACTCAACCAAGGGATCAATAACGTTTTATTATAACTTATTATAATACTTTATATATATTATTTTTGTATTATGTTTAGTGTTCTTTGTACCTTAAGATAAGATAAGATGGAACTTTATTTATTCATCCCCCTGTGAGTCACAACATGTATTGGATACAAGCATTTTCCTGTGACTGTAGAGTAGTAAAAGTATGAAGTAGCAGGAAATGGTAAAGGTACTTCACTACACTGCAGTATCTGAGTACTTAGTTACTCTCCAACACTGATCAGAACTACACCACTGTCAGGATTGAAATACAAGTTTGAAGTTAAGCTTTTAGTTTAAAGTTTGCATTGATTTTAAAGTTTGTAAAGTTTGTAAATGAAAACTCACTGTGAGCTGCTTCTCCTCTCAGGTCCGACACTCCTCCACTGCTCCTCGAACACAGGGGAGGAGGAGGAGGAGGAGCTAGTGTGAGCAGCAGGTGGAGCCAAATGTACACATAACTTTACAACTCATTCTACTGTCAGTGAATTATAGTCGCCCCCTGCTGGTTATATGAGAGAATGCAGCCCTATAGGCAAGTTCATTTATACAGCACCTTTCAACACAAGGCAATTCAAAGGGCTTTACAAAAATGAAAGACATTAAGAAAATGGCATTTAAAAACAGTCATTAAAAAGCAAAGATATCAAAATAAACATTAAAAGAGAAAATACATGAATAAAAGTTACAGTGCAGTTTAAGATATGAATAGTTCAATTAAAAGCAGCTGCAAAAAGAAAAGTCTTCAGCCTGGATTTAAAAGCAGTCAGAGTTGCAGCGGACCTGCAGGTTTCTGGGAGTTTGATCCAGATGTTTGGAGCATCATAACTGAACTTCTCCAGGTTTAGTTCTGACTCTGGGGACAGGAAGCAGACCAGAAGACCTGAGAGATCTGGATGGTTCATCATTTAGCAGGAGATCAGAAATGTATTTTGGGCCTAAACCATTCAGTGCTTTATAAACCAGCAGCAGTATTTAGAAATCTATTCTTTGACACACAGGAAGCCGGTGTAAAGACTATGGGGACACAAATGGAAACAAAAAATGTCTCTCTGGTGCAGTAAGAAATATATATTAATATTTTATTATATATACTTCTTACAAATGTAAATAAATATTATCATTTCATAGATGCTAACAGAAAAATAACTAATAATTGAAGTTTGATCAACATTAAATCAACCATTTTTTAATGATAAACCCTAAAGTGTTACCTCATTTTCTCATAGACTTCAATACAATCTGATTTATTTTTGCCAGTGGAGTCGCCCCTGCTGGATATTAGAGACAAAACCCCTTTGAAGGACATACAGGAGACGTACAGTCAATAAGGTTTCATTAACAATCAAATATAATATTGTTTTAAAGTTTTATAGTCCTGATAACAATTTGCAATTTTCTATATATCCGTAAATTATATACTACCATATGTATACAGTATGCTATAAAAATGTTTTTTAAATATTTTGAGATTTGGTTGAGCAGGGTATACTTGTACTTTTACTAGAGATGTGTCTGTTGTTTGTGTTTGTTTTTAGTGTCAGGATGGAACCCTTGTCTTTTTCTCTGCAAACAGAATCTACCTACGGGGACAAATAAATAACCTGAACCTGAACCTGAACCTGATCTATATATCTATCTATGCTTTTTTTTCACTTACATTCGGACTTATTTTTGCAGACATTGGAGTCGCCCCCTGCTGGATATTATGGAGAATGCTGCTAAATGGAAAAAGTTACTTCCTGTTGTAGTAAATGAATTCATAAAATAAATGTTTTTTCTATAATGCCTGAGTCAATGTGCATCTTGCTGTTGTTTCCAGATGTCACGTCTGCTGCACAGTAATCATTGGGTTTCTGTTCACAGACATCAAGACATGTTTGACCTGAAGTCATGAAACACTAACCAGAGGACTAAGTGGGAGTTTAAAGGAAATAAAAACCTCAGTGATGGTGTTTCTGCTGTTAAACACACTTTCCATAATTTCCTGTTTTAGTCCCCAAACAAAAAGCAAACTGGAGGTTTATACATGAAGCCACAGAGACGTCTGAAAACTGCTGAGCAAAGACCAGAACCCCCTCAGATCTGCATCATGACGTTATTGACCTCTTTTAATCTGCTGAGTGAGACGACTCAGCACCTCTTCCGGTTGTTTTATAAGACTTTACAAACTCAAAGATCAATAATTTTTCTCTTATTGTTTCCTAATGGCAGGTGAATAGCATTACAACTATAATTAACAGATGTGACCATAACACTTCCCCACTTCATTACTGGCATTAACACAATGAATTTTTAATATTAGAAGTTTTGTGACATGTTATGTTTGAATGAGGCATCAAATATTTGCTAATTTGCCTCCATTTCCATCACAGAAATGTGAACATTGGATAAAGCCAGGTTAATATTCTTGTTTCATGTTATTGACATATTAGAGTCAAAGGTTTTTACAGATGGGATTTTGGATATCTCTTTGTATCACCAATTTATGAAGAAAATGTTTAATTTGTGTTAAAGAAACCATAACAATTCAGGCATCAGGGAAAACATATAATTACATATAATGCAGTAAGGCTCTTGGGCATTCTGTATCATTAAAATATGTATTCTTCTGTAAATCAAGATGTTCTTTTATACTTGCTTGATTTACAATCCCCCTTATTCGGTGTCTTTGGTTTGTGGCACCTGTAACCCTCAATGATACATTAGATATTTTACATTATTTTAGACTCCAATAGCTCATATGTGTTTTAGCAAGATTTCCTTATACTATCAATTAGCGATGGCGACAATTTTAGGTAATAAGGAAAGTGAAAACATTAATGACATTCGTGCCAATATATTTTATTTGGCGGCGCCTTTCAAGACACCTATGTACACCCTACAATGCATAAAAGAAATACTCTACAGGTTAAATCAGCAAAACATCAAAAACAGACAGGTCAAGGAAACTTGCAAGGGGGGGGGGGCCGGGGGTGGATTAAGGGCCTCAATGAGAAGGCTAATCTGAACATGTTAGGTGTATTCAAAACGTTACACATTTTATGAGAAAAATTAGTCTCTGAACTGGGTTTTCATCCCTATTTGCTGAAACCTTTGGCCAAAAAAAGTTGTATTTAACAAGCAACTGAAGAAATAGCAATGAAAGTTAGTTGTGACATGTTGATGGAAACATCATTAAAGATGTCAAATGATCTCACCGTGTTTGTTTGTGGTTACTAACTAAAAGTTTGTTGAAACTGTTGCATGTTGGGGGCTCAGGGGAGGACACTGCCTCCTAGTGGTCTACAACATACTGTCTGCTGTGGCAACAGTGATGTGTAATGTTCCTTAAACAACCATTAATGAGGTCCACTGTGAGCTGCTTCCTTACAAACACTTATCAACAGTTTCTGATGGTAATTAGACCTGTGGGAGCAAAGAGAGAGGCCCAGTAATAGATGTTTATCAGCGCTCAGAGGATAATGAAAGCCCCCGGGACTCAAACCTGCAACTGTTGTTTTATACTATCGTCTACCAAGATGTTATCCTACATCGTAAACTCAAGAAATTTCAAATGAAACTGGAAAAAGAGACTCACAACAGGTCAGTTTCATAAAGTTAGTGGGTTGTGCGAAAACACCAATGCTAAAATGCTAATAGTTTGCAGGTATAATGTCAATGAACAATGTCGATGGCATTAGTTCTGCAGGTATCTGGTCAGAACAAAGTAGTCGAAAAATATAAAATAATTTCAATTCATTGGATCATGAAGCTAATTTCCTTCCAAACAATCTAATAGTTGACCAAACCATAAACTAATATGTTAGCAAAACCAACTTCTGGAAATGCAGTGTTTCAGTTTGTAGTTTCTTCCGGAATTATTTTTATTTCACATTCATAATTTACAAAATATCAGCATAACAATTAGTAGATACCCAAAAGCAGTTTGTTTGATACCATTTTACAGCCTGGTTTCCTTTCATTTCATTACCTTTATTTATCTTAGATATGATATAAAGAAAATATAAATAAACACCAAAGTTATATTTATATATATCCATATATCCAATATTGGTCGGCCTTTTTTGATATTAGTCTTTTAAATGATACAGATCAGTGTTTTCTGTAAGAAAGACCAAGAAGTAATGTGTGTAACATGTATACCACTACCCCAAATACCATAACTAGCGCAAGACATCTTGAGTAAGTACAGAAGGGTCTGAAGGCTTCAGTTTCTCCAGAGACCGAGCGGATCCCTGTCCGTCGGCCCCTGAACGCCTCACTGCAGCGTTTATTTCTATTAACTTGCCGGTCACTGAGACACCAGGGAGCTCTGAAGCCTCTAGGACAATCATTACAGCCCATTAATAAAAATGTGTGCAACAAACACATGCACAGGCCGGGGTGGACCTAACATTACACTGTCAGATACAGCAATGAAAACATTTAGAAAACGTTACTAGAACAGCTGAAATAATATCAACTGTTTATACATTTTAGCTTTTCGAAGAAAGTATCATTGTTAAAACAAATTAACAGACAAAATAAAAAATGCTATATAATTGCCAGTGGGCTCATTCAGAGAATTCATCTTTCAGAAAACTTGTCAAAGGTCAAGCTTCTCTGTTGTGAACTCAAATTATTGTGACTTTTTCTACATTACATATAAGAGTATTCAACCCTTTTGTGATTATTTAAGCTCATTGTCCAAGATGATTGTACTTCATGGGGGTCACTCCTAGGTGCAAAACTGGCAAAAATATGAACTAAAAACAAGCTAAAACTAGGAGAACGACTACGAGAGTGCAGACCTCTACCACAACCATGCTCGTATTTGCACAGATCTGTTCCAAAATGTGATTTTACTTCATTCTACAACATGGGCAGTCGTTTATCAGTAATCCTCCTTACAAACAAACAAACCAAAATAAACTAACTTGCAATAACCCAGGAAGTGTTTGGAGGCCACGTGGTTCTGGAGCCAATGAAAGGACAGATACAGCATTGCCTCGACACCCTGTGGCTCAAATGCCCAATAAAGGTATTCAATATGGTAAAAAAAACACAAACGTTTTAAAGACAAAGTTGGAGAACAAGCATGTACAAGTTGAATTCAAATCTGATTTTCCTTTTTCTGTACATACATATTCCAAATTTGAGTCACAGTTTGTACAACCTTTTTCCCTAAACATTTCCAAATGCCGGGCTGGGTTTGAGAATTATTCAAAATAAGCTAAATGTTACGAGTAGGAGAAATATAATTTAAACTATTGTGTCACTCTGGGATCATTTAATTTAAGATTGCACAAAGTTGTAAGAAATCTCTTGATTGGATAATCTTTCGAAAGTTGCTGTTGTTTGAATGCCTTAAACCCAACGGAGGTATGAGTCGCCTGGTGGTTTCATGTTAGTTGTTGAGTCTCAGCGTAGAGAAACTTTCCTCAACAGAGAGCTTGTTGATTGACTTCAGCTGGTGCGGTGGGAGGTTGGGGTTAGCTGAAGTTTCCCTGCAGAGTTCCTGCTGATTATGGTGCTAATTAACACATCACTAACAACAGCAAACAAACGTGGTAAAACAGTAAGGTCATGTCTACATTACATTACTGAGCAGGGAGGCCAAGGGGGCCCGGACGCAATTAAGGTAGCAATCATTTGACATATGGCATATTTACATCTTTGGCATATTTACATATTTTATTGACCTTTAATTCAGACCAAGCAGAGCTCTTTAACCAGCACTTTGTTAAATGTGGGAACCTATTTGACTCTATAGCGCCTCCTAAGGCCTAGGCTCCACGGGAACGAAAACGGGTTGAATCCGCATATTTCTCATGCGTATAGCCCTTTAAGCTAGACGACGCCGTAACGGAACGGTAGAAACGGACCACGGGTCCAAAGGTGGATAGATCTGGGAACGAAGCGCTCTGGGGGGTCCAACGGGGCCGTGGGGTAGCCTATACGGTCATCCGTTTCTGATAATGACGACGCAATAGCTCCGCCACTCCCCGCCTCTCCCCACCTCTCCCCACCTCTCCGCGTACCCCGCATCATTGCTGATGTGTTTCGTTAACAACAACAATGGCGGATCGCAGGATTGCTATCGTGCTCCAGACGCTACTGACCATGCTACAGTTCTTTGTGCAACATCTACAGGAGCTCATCCATCAGCAACAACAGGACATGGAGAACATGACCTACATGTTGCTAAGAGTACTGCGGGGAATAACCCGAAGGGCAACCAGGAGAAGGTTTTGGGTAAGACCGGGCAGAAGCAGCAGTTGGTGGGACAATTTTGTCAATGGCGTTGTCGTGGATGAGGAATGGAGGGAGAACTTCCGCATGTCCAGAGCCTCTGTCGTCGCCCTGACCGAAGAACTGTGCCCATATATCGAAAGGCAAACAACAAACATGAGGGCACCAATTGATCCACTGAAAAGGGTTGCGTTAGTACTGTATTACCTGAGCGATGGGGGAAGGATGCGGAAGACTGCTAACGCCTTCGGTGTTTCGCGCCAGACTTTGTCCGTCATTATTAGGCAGACATGCAGAGCGATCACCATCCACCTGGGTCCAAAATATATCAAGCTGCCTTTTACTGAGCCCGAGACCGCGGATCTGGTTGAGGGCTTCGATCATGCTCATCACATGCCACAATGTTTAGGAGCAGTGGACGGAACCCACATCGAAATCAAGCAGCCATCTACCAACCCCACTGACTACATCAACAGGAAAGGCAAACATTCCCTTAATGTACAGGCCGTCTGTGATTACAAGTACCGATTCATGGATGTCGTGGTAAAGTGGCCTGGGAGTGTGCCTGATGCACGGGTCTTTGCTAACTCAAAGGTAAACATGTTCTTGAAAACTGGAAAGATCCCTGCTCTGAGAAAACAGATTGTGGACGAGGAGGAGGCCATACCAATTTATCTTCTTGGTGATCCTGCCTACCCGCTGCTGCCGTACCTGATGAAGGAATATGCAACCGGTGGCTCCACAGTTCAGGAACAGTACTTTGGGCTATCTTTGTGTAGGGCACGTATGGTCATTGAGTGTGCGTTTGGTCGCCTCAAGGCCAGATTTGCTGCACTTAGAAGGCCTATGGACATAAACTTGGTTGACCTGCCCCATGTCATTTACTCCTGCTTTGTCCTCCACAATGTTTGTGAGGCCAGTAAGGAGGCTGTGGATGATCAATCTGTGTTGGGAACAATTCAAGGTGAAAGGGATTTACAGCCTCCCACACAGAGCAATAGGTATCTCACTGACTGTAATGAGGGGGAGGGAAAGAGAGTGAGGAGAGTGCTTACGGCTTACATTGACCCTTAGGACTACATAAAAGACAGACTGTATTTTTTTTTTGGAAGGTTACTGTGTTAAGATCTGATAAACATTCTTTGTTACATTCACTGTGCAGCTCCTTCAGTGACAAGCTTTTTTTTTTTACTTAGTACTTCTTAATGTATGTAACATTAAGCAACAAAATATGTGATTCTCCAATGTTCAAAGTGTGAAATTAAAAATAAAATTGGCTGCAACCACTTCCAGACTTTCTTTGAACTTAAAGTGCAACATGTGACATTTCCGATATTTGACACTAGGGGGGGTTATTTATCAGAAATATAGTATATATATGTCTTAATTATCATATGTATATTTATACTTTCCCATAAGGACCCAATGTGGCACGGTGTCACATGAACTTTAATGTTCTGTAAAGTTACACTGATGTTCCATCCTGACTTTCACAGGAAACCCGGAGTGACATATATGCACGATTAGAAATATGATTATGATCTGCTGAGTTAATTTAGCTGATTCAATTACATTTAGTTAATATATCCTTTATTCTTCAGTTCAAACAATGTTCTAACCTATTTAAACCAAAAAAGCATCCTCATTATTGAAGTTATGAGTTATATGACACTAGGGGGGGTTATTTATCAGAAATATGGTCTATATATGTCTTAATTATGTTCTCAATGTTCCCAAAAGTAGAAACGGGTCCGGGTTCTTATGGGTTAAACAACTGGCTTACTACGCCACAAACTGAAGCTCACTGCTTTATCAGTCAACTTGGCCAGTAATAGATATCTCACTGACTGTAATGAGGGAAAGACAGTGAAGAGTGCTTGCGGAGTACATTGACATGAGAGACAACACTGTTATTTTGCAATGTTTTTTATTAAGAACAGTTGCAAGAGCTATAATGATATATATATATATACATTTATGGAATAAAAAGTGAAATGCATTCAGTCCACATGTTCACAGTGCAACAAGGAATAGAACACCTTGACTGGCAACAAAAAATATTCACTGGAATAAAAAGTTAAAAACACTTCCAGACTTTCTTTATATATATATATATAAAGTGCAACCAAAACTGAAGCTCTGTGCTTTAACAGTCCTCATGTTCACAGTACAACAAGGAATAGAACACCTTGACTGGCAACACAAATAAGGATAAACATTCACTGGAAAAAGAAGTGAAATGCTTTCAGTCCACATGTTCACAGTGCAACAAGGAATAGAACACCTTGACTGGCAACAAAAAATATTCACTGGAATAAAAAGTTAAATTTGCTGCACCCACTTCCAGACTTTCTTTATATATATATAAAGTGCAACAAAAAATGAAGCTCTGTGCTTCAACAGTCCTCTTGAAAGAGTGACTGCCTGTATGAATACTGAGATGGTTGCCGTGGGGGGTCAGGGGTCCTCGTGTGCAGGTGTGGTGCAGAGGGGTGTGGTGCAGAGGGGTTTGGTGTGTAGGCAGGCTGTGGCCTTCTATACAGGTACGGTGACTGTTCCGGTAATTGTCCACCGCTGCTACTGTGGGGTTGCGCATGCATGAATTCCCTCATCAGGGAAAAGCCCTCCCGAATATTTTCATTCATCAGAACAAAGCTTTCTGCGTTGCGGGTGGATGTTTTCTGATTTTGCTCCATCAGCTCCACCATCCTCCTTTTTAGTTTCAGGTCTTCCTGCACGGCATGGTCAACTGGAAGTTTTTTTTTTAAGCGGTCACTTCTGTGGCCGTTCAGCTGCACCTTGAATAAACCAGAGCATTTTTTTATTATTACACAATAGGACCATAGCCACCAGATCACATAAGACCAAAGGCATGTTGTGCAATAGCTTCTACTTTTACAAATACAACAGCTCTCAATACATTCTACTTTTACAAAGCTTAAACGTGTTCAGTTTTTCTGTGGAAGGTACTGTATCGTAGTATGTAGCAAGTCCGTTAAGCTTGAAATCATGAACATACCTGGAGCAGATTCCTGCGATGCTGTACAACTGCAGCAGCTGGCAGACTTCCGCTGGATTCGCTCGACTCTGGCGGTGGCGAATCGTTGGAACGCTCCAAACTCCGGGGTGAGCTTGGTCCGGAAGACGACTCTTCCAGGTCCCCCGTCTCGATGCCCGAGCTAAGGGAGCACGTTGCAGGCGAGCCACCCCAGACCTCTTCACACAGCTCAAAAAACATGTGCACAACACGTCCTTGGCCACTCCGACACTTAGTGTCCACCGCATGCCTGTACTTTATGCGGATTTGTTTTAGCTTGGCGGCAAGCTGGGGCTTTGTAATGGCCCCCACGCTGTGAGGGAAATCCTTCCCTGTGTCGGTCCTCGGATACTGCGCCTGAAATAAGTTGTCTATATCGCTATACTTCAACTTGCAGGACTCCCAGTCAACATTCTCCTGGATTAATGAAGTTTTGTACTCTAATGTGATCCGAAGTAGAAGTTCTACCTCATCATCAGTCCACGAAAAGACCTCCTTTCTTGCACAAATATCAGCCATCTTCTACCTTGTGTGTTTGTTTGTTTGTTTGTTTGTTTGTGCCTTACACATCCGGGGGGGATCTTATACTCGCTGCTTTTTGTGGAGGAAGTTACAGCGCCACGTACAGGTTCGGCATATGTACTGCAGCTTTTCCAGCGGTTGGATGTAAACGGAGCTGTCTCGTGTAGCTTGACACAATCCGGTGTATATTGCGTGTGGGCGGAAGCTTTTTTGCGTTTGCGTTTGCGTTACTCCTATGCGTTTTGCCGTATGCGTTCCCGTGGAGCCGGGGCCTAAGCCCCCCACCATGTCACAGCTTCTGCCTGCAGGAAGTTAGTGAGAACGATGTGCTGGAGGTCCTTAGTAAACTTGACCTCAACAAACCTGCAGGTCTTGATGGGCTAGACCCCTTCTTTTTTAAAGTTGCAGCCCCAATTATTGCAGAAGCTATCTCCCACCTTTGTAATCTGTCCATACAGACAGCAGTGCTACCTTCTGCCTGGAAGGCAGCCTCAGTGCAACCTTTGTTTAAAGGGGGAAACCATGCTGACCCCAACTGCTATCATCCAATATCCATTCTACCCTGTATAGCGAAAGTGTTAGAAAAGTTAGTTTGCAAACAGCTAACATGGTTTCTGAAGACTTACAACATACTATCTGACATGCAGTCTGGGTTCCGTGCAGGTCATGGGTGTGAGATGGCGACTCTTAAAGTCCTAAATGATATCATCAATGCCCTTGACTCCAGACAATACTGTGCTGCCATTTTCATAGATCTTGCCAAAGCCTTCGACACTGTAGATCACCAACTGCTTCTGGGAAAGCTTAGATGCATTGGTGTCACTAACCAATTGATAGCCTGGTTTGAAAACTACCTGTCCATGCGCACCCAGTGTGTAAAATCTGACAATCTGATGACACAGCCCCTATCCATCTCTAAGGGAGTACCACAAGGCTCTATCCTAGCACCCATCCTATTCTCAATATATATAAATGACATTATTTTAATGACTGATTGAACCACAGCAGTGTTGTTTTAGAGATGTTATATGTTTAACTGCTATGCCTGTCATCTCTGCTCTGTGTCATTGTGTTGTCTCCTGGGTTCTGTCGTGCCCGGAGTCTGTCTTTTTATTTTCTTCCTCCCAACCCCCATCCCCTCAGGAAGCCTTTTGCCTCCTGTCAGGTCATCATTGAAAATAAGAATTTGTTCTTAATTGATTTTCCTGGCTAAATAAAGGTTCTACTACTACTAAGTTTCTCTCTCTGTATTCTATGATGACCTTAGCAATTTCATAACCAGTGGCCGAAAGTCATCATGAACTGACCCTACAATCCTCTGACTTACCTATTACTCCAATAAAACAGGAGACATAAGCAACTTTCTGAAGTTGGATGAAAAAAAAAAAACAGAATAATGGAAACGTACAGAATTAAGTTAAATGAAAGCTGCGAGCAGCGATGAATGGGTCTTCGATGATCCGCGTAGGTCCGCTGTTGTCTGCATGTCATACGATTACACCCCATAATACTCTTAAATGTCTTGAGGGCTGCATCATTATATAACATGAGACGTTTCCGGCCGTTTGAAGCATTTCGACTGAAGTTATAAGAACCGTGTTTCATGGCGAGCATTGTGTTTCCATGGCAACGGCATTTGTGAAATCTCAAAAATGAAAATTAGATGTCTTCACGGCTGGACTGTTAGCACAGAGGTGAAGTTTGAGCACTTTTTGAACATTTTCATAGGAGTTACAGCGTTATCGTGTTTCATGGCGAGTAATGTGTTATCATGGCAACAGAGTTTTAGCGAATCTCAGAATTGTCATATAGAAATGTTGAGGGCCAGAGTGTTAACCATCATCTGAAGCCTGGTGCCATTTGGCCAATTTTCCTATGACTTACGACAACATCGTGTTTTTTGGTGAGGGATGCGTTGCCATGGAAACTGCATATGGTGAGATCTCGGATTTGGCGTAGAGCTGTTGAGGCATGGACCGGTGATATACACCATGTCCATTGGAGTTACAGCGACATCGTGTTTTATGGCGAGGGATACGTTGCCACGGTAACGCCACATTATGAAACCTCAGATTTGATCCAGAGCTGTTCAGGGCAGCAGTGTTAACCGTCATGTGAAATTTGGCGGCGTTATGACCATGTCAGTTGGAGTTAGGACATCATCGTGTTCTGTGGCGAGGGATTGCCTAGCATCGAGCGAACGTGAAAATGGGCGATGCATCAAGACAACGCTGTGCTGTAAAAAGTTACGTTTCCTGATAACTTTTTATCCCCCAGGTCTCGAGACGCTACCTACCTAATTGGGAGTCAATCGGATAAAATCCCTAGGAGATCTCTAAAGTACGGAGGGCAAAAAACTCGATAAATCAAGTTTTTCCAACGCCAAATTCAAAATGGTCGATTTCCTGTACGTTGTTTTATACACTTGCAAGAGGCTTTTTGGTTCGTCTCCGCAGTTTAGATGTACCTGCAAAGTTTTGTTCATTTACGTGAAAGTAGGGGGAGTTTATGTTAAAAACGGAAGTGGGCGTGGCTTCCAAAAATGTTTACGCTAATTTCCGGAACCATATATACATCGCAATTTTCACCAGTCCTGATGAGTGTACAACATTTTGTGAGTTTTCATATATATTCAGGGGGTCAAACATGCCGACCACTGGTCTCAGACCCTAATTAGGTTCAGGTTAAGCATTGAGCTTGAAACATTTAGGATTAGGCATTCACCCTTGTAGTTAAGATTATCAATTAAATGAATACTGTTGGGCATTGACTTTGAAATTGTTAACGCTAGACATTGACATAGCACAGTTAGGGTTAGGCATTGACCTTTTAACCTGTTAAGCCCTGAGCCTGTTTTTCAGGTCTCAGGCTCGAAAATGACATTCCCAGAACAAATGACCATATCTTCCCTTCTAAAAGGGTTAAATTAATAATCTTTTTTCTCAAAGTACTGATAAACCTGTGAGTTGGATGTAGAAAAGTCAGAATCAATATAGATGTTTTTTATTTTAAAGAAAATTCAGATTTTACATAGTAAAAAACTGTAAATTATAGTGTCCGTCCAAAATGATTTTTTACTTATAGTGAAAACCACCCTTGGATGATGGGTTAGTAGACTAAAAGCTTTAGGAATCCAAAGTACAACATATAATAAGTACACTGTATCAAGATTGATGCAAAACAAGTGACATTTTACCTTTTTAAAGAAATTTAGCAAAAAGAAACCACTTCTGGGGTCATTTGGGTGGATTTTCCATATCTCTGGCCCCCCTTGCTCAATTTTGATGGTTGACATCTCTTTCTGACCGTTAGAGCCAATAGAATCGAAGGGGGAGTCCCCCACACACACATGTTGTGAAGAGAAAATGTGGGGGCTTCGCGCATGTCATTTTGCATCAGAGTGGACCTATCTCTAGCTTTGACATCTGGAAACGGAAAAGCAGTTTTAATGCTTATGGATTATCAGAAATAATTTCAAAGGGACACAGACACATTAGATTAACCTATGGATTAACTTCAGCAGCGTTTTTATCGTTTTAATGCCATTGAAGACCACTTTGGAGAGACTACAGAGCCAAGGTAAAAATGTTAGCATTTTTAGCTACCTAGCGTCACCTGTTTTGATGTCCGTTTTTGCTTATAACGTCGCAAATACGTATAATTCAGTGGTAATGTCAGTGTCAATCGATTCTGTGTCACCTCACGATGTGAATCGATGTGTTGGATCTGGTGAAAAGATAAATAATAAGGTTTTGTGAGTGATTTTCGGTGCAGTAAGGTGTTAGCATTTTTCGCTCATTGCTAATTCAGAGGCTCAGTGTTAGCATTGTGGGTTTTCTTTTGAAAAACAAAAGAAATGATCAGTTAGATGAGTTTCTTCCCGTTACATGGATATAAAACATTCATAGTTTTATTAAATTAACATGCCCTCAGACACTGTTTCCTGCAAGATGTTGCGTCAGTACCCCGGTACCGGGGTCTCTCGGGCTTAACAGGCTAAAGTTAAGGTTAAGCATGAACTTCATGGTTAAGGTTAGACAATGACTGCGTTAGGTTAAGGCTAGGCATTGACCTCACACAGTTATGGCGCGTTTCCACTACACGGCCTCGCTCGGCCCCACTCGGTATGGCTAGGCCTCGTTAGGACTGGCTCACTTTATGGCGCATTTCCATTACAGTTTAGGAACTGGGGTAGTATCTATAGTAACGCAGTGTAGGCGGAGCCGTGACGTCATCTTCAATGAGAACCCCAGAAAAACAACACAGCCGTTAGTTGTTAGCACTCAGAGCTCACAGCTCCTCATATATGTTCAGAAACTAGACAAGTACAAACCACAGACTGCCTGTGTCATGGCGAATACAGTCGCTGCTTTATTTATGTCTGTATAGGCCGTTGTTGTGAGTGTGGACGGTCGGAGCATATACTGCGTTAGCTTAGCCAATCTCCATTTAGAAAACACGCATTTTAAAAGGTTTTTCCCCTGCCGTCTGTCTGCAGACTTGACAAAGCATTAATTCATGGTTTTTACTAACCGGTATCAGTATGTTGTTACTTCGGCATCATTTTGAAACGTGTATTACAATTAAATCACGGTCAAATATGTCCATCTTGTTGTAGTTGTAGCCCCCTTGCCAGCGATGCTCTCTCTAGTTTAGCATACTCAGCCCGACTCAGCCTCGTTGTCTCTGGCCCTAG